GGGGGGCCTAGGTTGTTGGAACTTGGACTTTTGACAGGCCTGTCACTCAATCGGTTATCCGCCGTGCTGTTGTTGTTTTGGAGGGGTGTCCGAGAGTTGGCAGTTCGTCAGGCGACGGAAAATATGGAGTGTGACTGTTGTGACTCTGTTACTCTTAGGATGAAGTATGTGCGCGCTCATGTGTGTGTAAACATGGCGGCTGCATAAGTTTCGTTCTCTGGGCAAAATTTCAAACATGGCTTTTCTGGCTGGCTCGAGGGCCGGGAATAAAGTAACAGGTTCAGGAGCAGCCGAGGGTAAAACCCGAAACCATAGAGACCGTTCCTGGACCGTCCTGGTAATCCTCCTGCTCCCGATCCTTGGGCTAGTTCTATGTATGTATGATGGGATTCTAGGTGCAGCAGAAGGTGCGTTGACAGCTCCTAGTGTGTAGCCGCAATGTTTTGCGGTGCTCTGTTGTGTGTTTGTATGTTTGGTCTCAAGTTACGGCAGCGCAGTGCAGCAACAGCAACAGCAACAGTAGCAGCAGCAACGGCGACAGAGACAATGAACCTCAGACAGAGCTGACAGAGCGCTCGCTCACAAACGGAAGAGAGAAAAGGCAAAAAATTGAGATTGATACGCTGCAGCAGCCAAATTAAGAATGCGCGGGACTCCCATTGGCCGGATTTTGGCGCCGATGCTGGGCTGCGCAAGTGCAGGTCCTTGTTGAGAGGTCAAGGTTCCAGGTCCAGGTCCAGTCCAGGTCCTTGTCCTGGTTCAGCGCGACCGCAGGCGCAGGAGCTATTAATAGCCCCTGCATGTTTCGCAAAACACCCTCCAGTCACGATGAAGCCTGTGGCGGCCAATCTGTTCCCCACTCTCTTGGTGGTGCAGCCATTGAGCCAGTGAGGGACGCTGGAGACCTGGAGTGTGAGGTGAGGTGCTCCTCCTCTCCCACACTCACCTGCTGCTCATTCACTCACATTGGGAGTGTTCAGTCACCAGTGTCCCACCTGCTTTCCCCACTCTCACGAAAGCCTCTCTTGCAGCTGCAGGCCTTCAGGCAATGTACTTTGTAAGGTACCGTTCCTTCCAGTCCAGCCCAGCCCAGCACAGCGACAATCGACAACTTCCCCTCACTTGCCTACGGCCATGCTTACACTTTGCATCATGTCATGTTGAGCGGTGCCAGTCCGGCGTGAATAGCGTCGGGTTCCCCTCAGAGTAGTGACTTCATCTTCTTCTTGTGCCATGGCCTCAACCCACCACAACAATCGGTCCAAGGACGGCAGATGAGTGATGGCGGCGGCTTAGTGCAGCGCATCTCTAAACGAAGGGCCACACTAACACCCGATCCGACTGCTAGCAGTGGCGGTCCCTCCTCCGTCCTCTCCGTCCTCCACTGAGGCACGGCGTGCTAGGTAGATAAGACGCTGGACTGCCTCGCCTCGCCTTGCCGTGCCGTGCCTTGCCTTACCTTGCTTTACCTTACCTACCGTGCCTACTTGCCCTGCCAGACAACCACGGCTACTGCGAGACGGACGATGCGCGCTGTGCTCTCACTCGCATGTGGTCCAGCAGATACTAGCTAGCTTACCGTGGATGGTTCCTTGTTCTCCCCACTGACAGCCGTCCCATCCAAAAGTTGCAGCAGCAAGCAGCGGCAGCAGCAGCAGCAGGCAGCTCGTCGTGTGAAGGGGAAAAAAAAGAACAAGAGCAAGCCCAAAGACCGGATCCCAGTCGGAGGTACGTACCATCCGTCTCCAGCGGCGCCTTTCCCCTTTGAGCGGCCTCCAGAAAGATACGTACCTCCTCGTTGTTGCGGTAGCCACTAGCAGCCCAGAAAAGGACCCCTGCCCCAGTCGGCCTCAGCCAGCGACTAACCCTGGTGTGTCGCTGGTGTCGCTGCCCTGGTGCCCTCAGGTCCCCAGTCAGAGTCCCAGTCCCAGTCCCAGTCCTGGAGCCCTGGAGACCCTCCCACCACCCGTAGACTTGACCAGCATCTCCAGGCCAGACCCAGCCCAGTCAGTTGCCCTCGTCGACGAGGAACCGGGCATCCTGTCTCTCACTGTCTCTCTCTCGCAGCAGTCTGCTGCTGCTGTTGCTATTGCTACTGCTGCTCTCCAGTCGCCTGCGCCTGCGTCTACCTGACGTCCAGTCCAATCAATCCCTTCCTCCCACTGCCTCTCAGAGTCTCCTCTCCCACTTTCACCACACACTCGAGGTAAAGTACCCAGGTACACCCACACCCCCCGGCTCCCAGTGCAGGTACCCAGCACCAGTCCCAGTAAGTGCCTAGTCCCAGTGTCTCCCGTCCCCTTCTACCACCACCACCACCACCACCACCTTCTTTCTCTCTCGAACCCTTCCATCCAACTCTCAATTACTTCCACCGCTCCCCCTCCCGATCCGATTTCTTACCTTCTTAACCTACTCTCCCAATTCTTCCCCGGCGCTTCACGCACATTTGCTGCCAACCAAACCCTTCTTCTTCCCCTTTACCCGCCGTGTGCCAATGTTTCCGTTTTGACGGTGCCACACATCCTCTTCTACAGCATGTGCTAACCCCGAGCTGCCGTTTTCGTCGTGTCCAGTAGTCATTGTTTTCTCTCACTCTCACACACATCACCCATTCTTCCAACCACCAATTTTACCTTTTACCTTCTTACCTTTTCCATACCACCAAACCTCTACCTCCCTCGACACGTGACGACGACGCTCCTCAATCAACACGCTCATCCGCCCCGCCGCATACGAGAGTAATCGCGCCTTCCCCCGCCCATCGACCCCGTTCCTGTCGCGAGCCTGGTCACCTGTCCCGCGGCGGCGCCTTTCCGAGTACGAGGAGGAAGGGAGAATAGAAACACTTCGGTCCTTCCGAGACTGGACCACCAACGCTTACAATCAACCACCACCCCGCGGAGGAAAAGAAGAACAAGAGCAGTCAAGGGATCCAGCAGCGCTGTCCTCCGATCTAGCCCACGACTTTGAACCAAAACCGCGATTACGCTCCTTCACCACACAAACGCAACCATTTCTTTACTTATTTCGCCAACGGTGCCCCTCTCGGGTCTCTCAGTCTCCTCACCCGAGACTGCCGCCACCACGTTTTCGCGCAAGAGGAGAGAAAGAGAGAAGGGATTCGGGCAACCAATTCCCAAGGTGCACAAAACCATGCCGTCAGCAGCGGCGAGAAGGATCTACGAGGATCAAATCCCCTCCTTCATGTCAGTCTTCGACCTCGACGCAGAGACAATCGCTGCCCAGGAAACCGTAACCCTCGTCGACCCAAAGTTGATCGAGATGGAAGCCGCCGGCAAGCCACTGGCCCAGCCGGGTGTTCAACACCTCCGACCGACAATACCCTCAGATCCTACGCACAAGCACCACGACAGTACTTCCACCCAGGCATCCGAGTCGGCAGAGTCATCACCCACAACCACCCTGTCAACAAGTGATTCTTCTCCATTGTCCGACCCTTCGCCTTCATCTTCCCCCGACTCACCCGTCAATCTGATTCCTCTGTCATCCTTCCCGGCCACCTCTTTTGGCGCTCTGCCCCCAATTTCTTCGATGAACACCCTCTCAGCGGCGGAGACTTCGAGCTTCGGCCGACCGATGACGTCTCCTTCGCCGCGCCGCCCAAAGAACATGAAGGGTCTGTCCATTCAGCCGCCCTTCATGGGCAACACTGCCACGACGCTCGCATCTGAGCCCGCATCGCCCTCATTCATCAAGCCTACCATCCCGGGCATGAAGCGCAAGCCTAGTCAATTGAGCCTCAACACGAAGACGTCGGATCTTGTCATGAGGAACACGCTCGAGGTTCCCGGCACACCTGGAATGGCACCTATCATGCAACGGCGCGCGCTGAAGCACTCGACTTCTTCCCCCCACATGCTGCCTTCGTTGAAGTCGGCAACATTCGGCCCTCCCGGCGGAATGGGATTCCCCAAGGTTCTGGAGCGTAATGAGTCCGGTCTGTCAGAGCTGTTGAGGCCTACCAAGACGGGCGTTGGCTCCTCCTTTGACACGACGATTGTCGAGGAAGATTCGCCCATCAAGACGCAGATGGCCAGCCGCGCAGCCCTCGACTTCGAGCCGTACCACGAGAACGAGAATAACGAAGATCAGAAGACTCCCGGATACCCTGATGGCCCGATCGCCATCTATGAGGACAACGTTTATCTCTACTTGGAGCCGACGGCGGATGAGGCGTCCAAGTTTGACACGGTTATTAACGTAGCGCGGGAAGTGAGGAACCCATTCTCAGTGCTGCCCAAGGCAGATGTTGAGATGACGGACTCGCCCGCCGTCCTCAGCCCTATCCCCGACAGTGCCGTGTCAAACGCCAGCTTCTCGACGGCGTTCGAGTTTGCTACCGACGGCAGAGTTGAGACCCCGACAACGCCCAAGGCCATGTCCTTCTCCGTGAAGCGCCCGGAGTACATCCACATGCCCTGGGACCACAACACGGATATCGCGCAGGATCTGATGCATCTCTGCGAGACGATTGAATCACGCACGAAGGAGGGCAAGAGGGTCCTTGTTCACTGCCAACAAGGTGCCAGCCGATCCGCCAGTCTGATCATCGCTTACGGTCTCTACCGCAATCCTGACCTCAGTGTCAACGACGCTTACTACGCTGCTCAGGGCAAGAGCAAATGGATTAGCCCCAACATGAAACTCATGTACTGCTTGCAGGACTTTCAAAAGCAAGTATCAAAGAAGAAGGCACCCCTTGGCTCAGCCTTCCGCCCCCGAACCGGTCGCAGCCCCACGAAGCACCGTCTGACGCTGTCGGCGGACGCTGCCATCGATACCGCCCCGAAGGAGCCTTTGACGGCTCCCCTACCAGGAGAAAATGAAGGCAGCTCAGGGAATTTGAGTCCGAAGAAGGGCAGCCCGACCCGTGCACGAGGTCATTCAACACCTGGCAGCCAGCCAATCTCACCGGGACCCTCATCAGCGCCTTCGAGCTTCTCATGCTCAGAAAGCGAGTCCGCATCCAACTCCGCCAAGTTTGGAAGATTTGATGTGGACAGATTGCTTCCGACACTCAAACCGCCACCATCCGATACTGGTTTTGCGTCGTCTTCATCATTCTTTGCCAAGCCGCCGCCATCACCTGGCCCACCCCCATCGCCTGGATTTGGTGCACACCGATTTGGACCCTCGGCAGGCTTCGGCTTCTCCAGCTTAAATCTTGGACCGTCATACGAGCACGAACCGGAAGAAAAATCGCACAAGGAACGACACGTCGCGGTCGCGCTACCCGAAGACGCGGCGCTCATGTCACCGAGAGCCGAGACGATGACGAACAACCCGCTGCACGACGCCTACAACGAATTCGCGGGTATGCGATTTGTCGAGGTGCCGCCTACACCGAGTGAAGGTCTGTTCTCGCCTCGGGAAACAATGTTCCCCAGGGATCCCTTCTTCCCCTTCGGACGTCCCACCCAAGTGGCCGACCCGCGAAGTCCGCCTACAAAAGGTGAAACGCCAATTGTGAGGTCTATTGACGAGCTGCTATGACCGTGGCCAGGGCGGGACACACCGCCACTAGCGACTAGCACCAAGCCCTCGGGACCGGACTAATTCGGCGATACTCGGCCGGACTATGGCGATTTGTTGCTATTTCTGCAACACCAACTAGTGTCGCCATGCGACAGTCGGGAAGTTGCCGGTCGCCCCCATAACAATTATACGAGGTTCGCGCACAATCACACGCGACCATCGAATCGAAACACACGCACGCCGATCGAGTAAATCATTTTTCTCTCATTGCGCTGAGCGTCTCTACGGCATTTACAGGCGTTGAATCGTTCTGGGAAAAATTGAAAAGGATCATTTGGTGGATACCAACAACTGGGGATCACGCTCACGAGCACCACCGACGACGACACCTTCCAACACCGAAAGGCTCCAGAATCCTAGCGATCATTCAGCCGGCATTTCATTTGTCCCTTTTATTCAAGCCTTCTTTTCAGAGCGCAGCGAGTGGCGAATGGTGGTCGGTTTCGTCACAAGCAAAAACGTACTTTACTACCATAAACCGAAATGTGTAATCTAGAATCGAAACCCCCGGGTGCGATATTGGAACGAAAACATGGGATGAGAGAGATCCTCTCTCCCTATTTGGACACGGAAAGGGTCAGGGAAAGGGGGTTCGGCCATCATTTTTTCTTTTTGTTCTCGCAGTCGCTTCGCACAACACACGCTTCGCTTTAGGAGTTTGGGAGGGCACAACAGGTATCTCACGAAGGCCACGTCCTTGCTTCCCTACGGGGTGGATAACTGGCTTGGAGAGGAATATTGAACGTCGAGAAACAAACTCACTTCAAAAAGAAGGGGACGTCCATTTTCCAAGTTTTGTTTGGTCTTATTCAGGTTTCCTTTATTTTACTTTTTTCCCTTATCGCGGGTCCATCCACGGATGAAGACCATACCATACGCATTTGGAGTCAACGGGGAGGGATGAGATGATGGGATACCCGGCATGACTGCATGGCTCGGGGGAGAGGTAGACGACTTGAAAAACAAAATGAGAAGCCGCACTTTTGTGTGTCAATTAAACGTTCTGTCCCATACCATGTGATGTGATGGAAGTGCCATGTATGTAATGTGATGAGAAGCTTGCAGATGGACGGTCTGGGATGGAATCTCATCTGGTGCCGCCCATCATCTCGTCGAATCTCTTGAATGCTAAAGCCATCGCTGGCTGTTTTCATCCCCAAAACTGCCGGTATCAATCTGATGACAGCGTTTCTCCCACCCACGGTACTGACTTGAGATTATCACCATGATGAAGCTGCGGCGGACAACGCGATGTCGCCTGCTGACGTCCTTGAGTACGACGTTTACAAGAAAGCGAGCTCTTGAAGGCGTGGACTTTGGGATATCAGACTTGACGGACGGGCGTCATCAGCTCCTTGGCCGAGGCGTAGTTGAGTCTGGAGGATGTGTCCTCGTTGCCCTCGTCTCGACCCGATTCGTCTGCGAAAGCGCATCGTTGTCAGTGGCTCAGAGTCCATGTCTAACGTCTCTAAGGTGCAGCAAAGAATATGAAGGATTGCATAGTCCAAACCAGCTCTCACACATCGCTCTCAGCAGACGCGAAAAGTACCCAACGACCAAGAGTTCTATCACAAGGCAAATCGTCAACGACCTCTAGTCAAGAAACGGTTTCGAGCTAAGAGTTTGTATTCGAGTCCGGTCTGCGGACTGCTCTGTCTAGGAAAAAAAGCCCCCTTTACCCTGAACGCCAGAGACTCTGTTGGTCTTTGTATGTGTATATATAAGAACGACACTTGAAATAGCGCCGTGTGACAAACGGAAAACAAAATTTGGATATCTTATAAAGGGGTTGGTGGTGATGTAGAAGGATGCCAGAACAAGTCAATAGAACTGGCATTTTCGGCCTTCGCATTTGGTAGCTGCTGCAAGCAACTCTACCGCTTGAAGTGAGGTGTTCAAAGAGAAAAGGGGGGGAAGGGCAATTATTGCGTCTTGCCAGCCGCAGCAGCCCTTTTGGCAGCCTCCTTTGCCTTCTTCTCCTTGGTCGCGATCTGTGCCTCAGCACCGATGGCACCGAAGACGAGCGAGACGCCGAGCCACTGCTGGCTGGAGAGGCTGTGGCCGAAGGCGAAGACAGAGAGCGCCATAGTGACCATCTTGCGTGTGACGGTGACGGTGACCAGAAGCACTGAGGAGAAAGTTGAGAGGGTGTAGACTGTCTTGCGTTAGCCTCCAGACTCGATCAAATTTCGGAGAAAAAAAAGGCGGAAACGGCAACTCACAGATGAAAACCTGCCCGACGGCACCGCACGCGGCAAACCCGAGCACATCCCACCAGACCGCAGGGTATCTCGCCATGAAGCCCAACGCAGCCTTCAACTCCCCCGCGTTCCCGGCGACGTCCATGCCGAGATACTCGCCGAGGCCGGTGTGAACGAGCCATGGGCTCAGCAGCAGATAACCAAGCGTGACGGCCGTGCTCATGAGGTTGTTGGCGCACATCATCTGCGGGCCGGTGTAGCCCTTGAACGTGCTGAAGATGTAATCCTGCGTGCTGTTCGTCAGGCCGTCGAAGAGCAGGTTGATGCTCAGCAGAAGCATGCCCCACGGCATGTTCGCGTCCGGGTTGACAACCGACTTCTTCTTCTTGCTGCCAGAGTGCAGGGTGAACACGGCCACGCCAGCTGTCACGCCCGCGACGACGAGGTACTTGTACAGAGGGTACCTCTTGCCAAAGAGCGTGGTGTGCAGCAGCATCACCGGGACCAGCTTGCAGGACTTGGCGAGCAGGAAGGTGATGTAGTCAATGTGGCTCAAGCTGGCGTATCCGAAGGGGGACGCGAGGGAGGAGGTGACGGCGACGAGGGCGAGGGGCCAGACGATCTTCTGCGAGGGAAAGACGGGCGGGAGCGAGGGCTTGTTGCGGGAGCTGTAGGCGAGGTAAAGCAGGCCTGTCGTCGCGGCGAAGAGGGACTGGATCGTGTTGAGGAAAACGGGATACTTGAAGACTTCGGGCTTGGACGCGGGTCCGTAGGGAGTCGTCGTGAGCTTCTCTTGGAGATATGCCCATGTCAGGCTGCATGCATCAGTCAGCAACTTCTCAATACCACATGTAGTCCCTCAAGCGACGGTGAAACACGTACAATGAGGCGTAGATACCGCCAACGGCGATCAGAATCTGCAATGCGCCGGCCTCCTTGGCCTCGACTGGGGCAGCTGCGACAGCAGTCGCCTTGCCGTTGAGTTGCGTCGCCTCGCCGTTGCTAGGCGTGCGCGCGAGGTCGGCTTTGGAAAAGTACTCGGACGAGGTTTGCCGCCTCACGGGCGTGGCCTGCTTCGAGCGCGCCATTGCGATTGTCGCGACGCGAAGTATGTCAATCGGGAGCGGTTTCGTGTGTCCCGGTCGCACGATATAGGGACAGTCAAGAGAACGACTCGGGTCAAAAGAGAGGACAGCCGAAAAGTGAGGAAGAGAAAAGAAGCAAACAAGCGGGTGACGTTCAAGCCAGAAAGAAAGTTGAAGACGAGGGGAAATGAAAGACAAGAGCCAATATTATTGTCGAAGTCGATGAGCCTAGGCTGATGACAGGTTGGCTTCATCCCAAAATTAAAAATAAGGTGGAGAGCTTACCTTTACCCGTCAGACCCCCCTGAACTCACCCCTTCCAAGCCTCTTCAGGGTCCCCTCCACTGTCCGTTGGCGAACTGCCCCTAACCTTATCAGGAATCAGCCCAGCGGTGCCTCCTCTCCGGATCGGCATCGCCAACAGGTACCCAGAACCCCGCGCGGCATTGGCCAATCACAGCAGGAGCGCATCTTGATCCTGGACCTGCCATGCTTGCGCCGCGCGCCAAATGGGAGCTTCACCTCCGCATCTTGTGGATTGCGGAATGCTGTCCCAGGCTTAGCAATGAAGATGGACAAGCGCAGTACGATAGCAGCAGACTCAAAGGGGGGCGATGGTGAAATAAAGTTGAAGGGCCGCAGCAAATGATCCGACGTTTGTTAGTGCACTCAAACATCACGTAAGGGACAGGAAATATTTAGAGCGGCCTTGCAAAAGGGTATTTTTGTCTGCCTAGTCATGGAATGGTATCACTATGAAGAATCCTCCCGGTGTCGGAAATAAAGCCAATACCAGAAGCGTCCAAGAGCCATTCCATAACCCAAGACCTGCAAACGATACTCAGGCCACTGACTTGTGTATTCGGTCCAGTCGTTGTCGGTGAAGAGAGGGTAAGGGGGATGAGGGGTTGCGAGTTCATTGATCTGAGTGTCGGTGGCCGATAATCATTATTAATGTATCTTCGAAGCCATGGCTTCGAACAGGTATCCCGCGTCGTGAATCATGAATAGCTCGTCATCTTCTTGGATGACACGCCACCTGCCGTATGTTCGTGAAGGTCGTATAAACATCCCGATCCTTAGACCCTGGGATATCTTTGCCTGCCCAAACGTTGACCGGAAAACCTTTCCTCCAAAATGAGCAAGTGCGTCGCCTTGGAGAAAAGCGAAAGCCGGGACCACAACCTGCTGGTACCCACGTGATGCTTTCAGCATGCCTGAGCTTTTCGCCGTCCCAAAAAAAACTTCAAAATTGAGAAATAGGAAAGTGAACAGAATAGAGAAGGGCGCGTTTTTCGAGTCCCGGACCCACTGACAGTTAGAGGGTCAGCTGTCCTGGTTTCAAGCCTTGCGGCCAAAGTCTGCAAGTTCAAGAGCTGGAAATTGGAACACAGAACCATCTACTCCGAGGCAGGAGCCTGGGAGCGGCGCATCTTCTCGGCCTCCAGGTTCTCGTACAGCAGGAAAAGGGCAGACTCGTTGGCCTTAGCAGTGCCCATGATGGTGAACATGCGCTCGCCAGTCTCGTCATGGGGGGCCTGGGATGATTAGTTAGCACAATTTCAACAAACAGCACGAGCAAATAATTACCTTAGCAATGGAGATGCGGGCGCCGGAGGTCTTGCGGATTTCGCTAATCTTGGAACCAGCCCGTCCGATGATGCAACCGACCATGTCAGCGGGAATGGAGATGTTCTGAGTTTGGATCTCCTCTCCGTTCTCATCATGAGTGGGGGGTCCACGGGAAGCAGCGTCAGAGTCAGAGCGGCGGCCGTACGGGCGAGTTGCGCCGTTGCTAAAGTCGGCACCGTTGCCGGTGCGCATGACGCGGGGGCTGCTGTACTCAGCAGAGCGACCACCGCCGGTGGAAGAGTAGCTACCGCTTCCGCCGCCAATAGTGCTGCTAGTGGTGCCAGGCTGGGTGCGAACGACCGGGTTGTAGAGGACCGTGCCGGTACCACGCTGCCAGTCGTCGACGAGGCACTTGCAGATCTCCCAAACGGCAGCCTTGATGCCATCCGGGGTTCCCTGCACCTCAACAATGCGCTCGGTGGACTGAGGGAGCATCTCCTTCTGAGCCACCATGCGGACACCAGAGACGTCCTGGATGTGCTTGATCTTCAGTCCCTGTCGACCAATGATGGTGCCCATCTGGTTGTGGGAAATCAAGAGCTTGATAGCTGCGAAGTTGTTAGCATGAAGCTCCTTAGAAGACACGAGATGCAGCTGCTTACGGTGGGTGCCATTGTTCTGGACGACGCCGCCCATGCCCATAGCAGGAGCGCCCTCAAGGAGAGCCTGCGCGACAATGGCGTAGGCCTTGGAGATGGCCTGAATTTCACCAGTGATAGTGAGAACGCGGTCGTGTACACCTTGAACAACCTTAGACACGCCGGCCTTGACACCGGTCTCGTCGCGAAGATCAGCGACGTTCTTGCCAGCCTTTCCAATGATCACACCGGCCTCCTTGGAAGAGACGATGGCGCGAAGGGTGAGCTGAGACACAGCATACTCCTCCTCCGTACGGGGAGCAGGCTCGCCATCGGGGCCGAGTCTCGGCTCGCCGTCATCAACCTTAAGGCGGTCGAGAGAATCGACAAGGTCGTTGCCGTTGGAAGGGATATCTTGAACCACGGACATTTTGAAAGCTGGTGAGATATCCGAAATTTGATGGGATGAAGGGGCGCAGTCGGTCGCGGAGGCAGCAGCGAAGTCTGAGACCAAAAGTTAGTAATTGCATGATTGAATGGTGTATTTGGAAAAGCAAAATTGATGCGCTTGGCAACTGTGAATATTGTGGAAAGCGGGTTGCGTCGGAAGTTATTACAGGCGCCACAGGCCAGCAATAACACGAGCAACCATCTGGGGCATTTTGATTGGGGCAAGAAAGGGTATTGGGATGTCTGGTAGTGTATACACCTTGAATGTAGCAGGTCGTAGACGACGGGGGAGTTGAGGCGGATTTTCCCAGAGGTGTTACCCAAGCAGAGGTACCGGGGGAGATGAGGTGGTGATGCGAGGCGGGGTGATTTGTGTGGTGCTAATAATTACCTTGGATTTTTTTTCCTGAGCTTTGGCGATCAGGAAGGAGGGGTTAAGTAGAGCGGGCAGGTGCGACCCAAAATTGGAAAGTGGGTAATTTGGAACTCTGATTCGAGCCCGTGAGACGACGGTAGATGAGTACTTGCGTACGAATTGCCCGTCTTTATGAGTCGGTAGGTTGTTAACGATGCGACGAATGCGCCGTGGTTGACGGTGGGTAGTGAGGTGGGTGGTGGATCGGGGAAGAGGTCGGGGTTTGGAGGGGTGAGATGTAGGCGAAGCCTCGGAGGGTGGGATGGAAGAGAGCGGGTTGAGGGTGATGTAAGGCGGGAGGGGGGAGAGAAGAGTTGAGGCGGGAGAGAGGATGGATTTGGAAGAGTTTGGGTGAGGTGAAGAGGTGAAGAAGAAGAGTTGGGGTGGCCGGAGAGAAGTGAGGTTGGTCGTGGAGAGAGTGAGGTGAAGGACGAGAAGAAGTGCGGGCAGAGATTTGGGGGGAGAAAAGTAGGTAGGTAATTGTAAGAGCGAGAGGGAAAGTGCGCGCGCCGCAGGTGGTTTTTTTCCTGGTAGAAGTGTGGGAGGGGTGGCAGGTACTTACAGGTCCGCGTGGTGCAGTAAGAGAAGCTCGGTACTCTCTTAGTGTCAAAATTTGTGCTGGTTGATAGCTTTCTAGGCTGGAAGGCAGGTGCGCAGGGTTGAATTGGGGGGGCTTCTCGCTGGAGCTGCGTCGTTTGCAGGGCTTCATATGGGAGAAGAGACGCGGCAGGTACGTGATTCACCAGTGGGTTGCGACTGAGGATTCCAACGGCAGCTACCTCCTGCCCCACCTCGCAGCACGGCATCACGTGTACCTTCCCGCGAGATTAGAGAAAAGAAATACTTGAGAAGGCGCTAGAGCCACCGTCGCAGCAAGTCACCTGCCCCTCCCGCACATGCTTCCCGAGCTGTACCCAGAGCGTACCTCCCCTTGGACCCCTCCACGCGACATGGAGCTTACCCAGCGTCTGGGCCCTTTTCCTCCGGGGCCCTTTGAGCAAGCAGGTCTGGAAAACAGTGACGGCGACGTTGCTGCTGCCCTGCGTCCACTCGTTCAATTAGTGTCACTTCTGGGACCCCTCATATGTGACTCCCACGTCCCCTCTTCCTCTCACACTCAAGAGCTGTCTGTGACTGAGCAACAAACAAGACAGGACGAGACGAGACGACCAGCAGGTTACGCCCAAGCTTTCTCAAACCGTTTCCTCTCCATCTCCAGGCGGTGATGCTTGTACGTGGAATCGCGCAAACCGTCACCTGCCAGCAGCAACACCACCCTCACACGAAGTACATCCACCACCCATCTTCCGTGATACCCGTCTCTCGCAGGGCAGAGTGCATCCCTCTGGTCGCCCTCTCTCACACCACTTACACTCGTCGCGGGCGGGGCGCAAACTTTGGAGATGATCCCTTGGTCCCCAGGCGGCCTCTTGGGGGAACACTGGAGCTCTTCGGACTGATCCCCGCCAGGGCACATGACAGGGAAGAAGCATTCCAGCCGTCTCGAATCGACCTCCATTTCAGGGTTGAATCTCTCAGCGCAATGCGCATTGCTAGTTTCCCCCGGGATCTCTGGTGCCTGACCCGGCCGCATCGGAACATTGCACGGCAAGCATCGCGATCGACCAGAGTGTCCAATCGAACAGGTCACAACTGCCCGACTTGCGACACGCAACAGGAATGTCTGGGTGCCGCATCGCTGTGTGCGGTATCCGTGTCTACCTACCTGACCTAGGTACGCTACAGACTCCCGTCGCACTCGCAGCTGCACATCAATGACATGACAGATGCCCCCCTCCTCTCCTCACTGCTCCTCCCGTCAGGGCACAGGCGCAAAACGCAGGGCAGTGGGCAGCCATGGAGCCCGTGGAGCGTCCCAAGCTCCAGTAGCCGTCCACCTTCCTCCCACCACAAACCCAGCATACAGGACGCCCTGATCAACAAGAGCTCTTCGCTGCGTCCTCCTTCTCCACCCGTCACGCTGCTGCAGTGTGCGTCGTCGTTGATCTCTAGCGCGGGTGCGCGGGTACGGGCGCGAACGTCCATTGGGTTGCTTGGCTCCCGCCCAAGTCTTCATTGAGGTACCTTTGCAGCTTGGGAGACTCAATCGCCGACGGTTAGCGAAACGGTACCGATAAATGTTCCAGCCTCCATGCCCCTCCTTTGTCTTTGCGGTCAAATGGCTATCCAATATCAGAAATCCCATATCAGCCTATGCCGCTATGGCTCACCTCATACCGCCGCCCCATTCCAGCAGCGGTAATGTGAGCATATCTGGCATCTTAGTAGACCTGCGGCACAACTTCTTGGCTGCCAGGACCGAGCTGCTGTGTAACTCGATTCTGCAGCCGCCGTCAATATCCGGACCACGCGGAGCTCTCAATTGCCTGACTGGACTGGCCACATAGAAGCAGAACCGCCGCATTCCAGCCCCCCACTATTCCGCCCGCCACACGATGCCGCCGCCGCCGTCTGGCTTAGTTTCCGGCCATCCGTTCACCATTCCAGAGAAGTAGTCTCTTCAATGATCCAGATTGGCCAGACAAGTGGCACCCCGGCAGTGAGGTCGAATCGTGCCGTTGACGACTCCACGAGGAAATCACTCCTCCAAGCTCCAGCAGCCCTCACGTAGCGTCTGCGTTGCAGTAGTCTTTCCGCTAATGCCAGTACCGTCCGTCTTGCTGCTCACCACAGCCGTAGCCTTGCTTCTTGACCGAGCAGCACGGCTGTTCCTTTTTTGACCCGCGCCATGTGACGGGAGCCGAGCTCTGCGTCTGGCGGCGCATTGCAAGCGACGGCTGCCGCGACTGGGATACCCCAAAGTCGGTAGACGACGGCAGCGGGAGATGCGCATAACGCCGATCAAGGTTGTCAAGCGAACTGACGATACAGATTCTAGCATTGGCCGGCTTACTCGGTCAAAGGAACGAGGCTCTATTGCTTAGCGCAAAGTATCTGATTTGACTTGACTCTATAAATGTATCGCCGGGATCATGGTGCTGTAAATACGGGTGAGGGCATGAAGGCCGCGGTTCAGTTTCTGGACGAGCCAATGACTGGCACACACCACACTAGAGCGACGATGGATTACTGCGCTGAGTGACGGTTTCTCTGTTGCTGTGTTCAAACTAATTGTCTGTATCTGTAAATGTACCGCCTATCCAACCAAAAGAAGCCGCTCAAGGTATCATGTACGTTCAGTATATACGCTTGGATATATCCGCGAGCCATTACCGCCCCTTCACCTCTGCCGCAGCTGCTTCTCGTGCTCAACCCAAAAGTTCTTGCACGCCCGGTGACCCCAGTGCTCAACCCACCACTCTCCAAAACTGTCCTCGACGTCCACGTCAACCTTGCTCACTCGCTCGTCCCGCTTCAGGCCGCAGATAATGCAAGCCTTGGGCGCCGTCGGCACGACCTTGGCCGTCGAGACGGGCATTGTCTCGCTGAGCTCCGGCACGCGGAGCTGCTCGTTCTTCAGGGCCGAGTTGGCCGTCACCACGGCGGACCGCAGCCGCCCGACGTTTTCCTTCCACACGCCGATCACGTCCGCCGCCTCGCGATCTTCACGCGCCGCCTGCGCCTTGTCCACCCCTGCGAGCTTCATGCCCTTTGCGCCGGCCGCCGAGATAGCCATCCCCTGCGACAGGAACTTGTCGCGGTGCCATCGCTGCTTGCGGCCCGCGATCACCCGAGCCGCGACGGAGGCGAGGGTGAGGTAGCCCTTGAGGAAGGTTACTGTCTTGGGGTCGGAGAGGATCTTCTTCTTGACCGGGGGCATCTGGCCGTTCAAGGGCTTGAATAAGGCCGTGTTGGCGGTCTCGAGAAGCTGGGGAAAGATGGAAAGAAGAACAGAGGGCGGAGGGATGTTGATCGGCGGCGGGGCGTCGTCGCTGACTTCCGGGGCAGGTTCCGGGTCTCCTAGCAGGTTTGTCATTGTCTGTGTGGCAGTCGGAGCAGGAGCAGCTGCCGGCTTTGGTGCAGGCTTCGGCGTGGGCTTCACGTTGTCAATCGCGTCCCAGTCCCAGCTTTCGGGGGGCTTGCTGGAGTCAATAGCCGAAGGTTCATCATCAAAATCCTCGAAATCGCCCCAGAGATCTTCCTCCACCGTGGGCTGCTTGGCAATACTGGTAGACTTCTTGACGGCGGCAGATGGCTTGTCAGATGATGTCTGGCCGAAGGCTGGCCAGGCGGTGATGGGTGAGGGAGACTTTTGCTTGTCTTCTTCCTTTTTAAAATCTGCGTTTGTCGGAGTGGTGAGTCCTAGGCCTGGGAAGGGATTACGTTCTTGGAATGACGGACTCTTTGGTGCCTGTGGGTACGGCGAAGCTGGCGCGTTGAGATTCAAGGATGACAGCTGCGGCCTCGTCGGCTGAGGCTGAGAAATAGGCAAAGGGTCGTCAAGAGAAAGCAAGTCCATGGATGCCGGCTGGGACGTTTGCTGCGGTTGCTTCTGCTGCTTCTGCTTTGGAGCGGAATCCAAGGTTGGGCTCATGTTCGATCCTGGAAAAGGGGTCTGGACGGTTTCAAAGTCGCCAAACTCATCGTCGTCGTCATCGTCGTCGTTTCCGCCCTGCAGCTCAAATTCTTCCGCATCAAATAGAATGTTGGAGTCAGCCTTCTTCGTTGGTTTAGGGCTTGAGTTCCTGGCAGGACTCGGGTTTCTCGATATGACTGGCATCTGGCCCCTGAGCCTGGGGCTGGGCTGGGGCTTGGGTGAAGTTCCTCTCTGGGCCGAGAGATTCGGGCTAGCTGGTGGCTTCAACGGCCCTGATCTCCATGTGCCTGGGCTTGGTTGCCGGTTGGGCTGCTGCGCAGATAACCCAGGACTAGGTAAGCCTGGGCTGGGGATAGGTGCCAAGTTGGAGCCCATGGGCATATCGATGACATCAATCAAGTTGTTCGACATGAGATCCAGCGTCGAGGCGCGGGCAAGGCGAGTCCTGGGCGGTGGTGATGCCCTCGCCTTGTTCGTCTGTGGCGGTAGAACGAATGACCTTTGAGTAGGTGTAGGCTCGGCGACCTCGAAGTCCCCAAAATCATCATCTTCTTCGACATTTTGCTGAATCGGCTTCTGCGGTTGAGGCTGATGGATGGTTGGCGTCGAGGACATGAAGCCCGATGAGAATGAGCCGAAGTCACCCCATCCTCCGTTATTGTTACTGCTGCTGGCAGCGCTAGCACCACTTGGCTGCTGCGTCTGAAAATCCGGCCATGGCTGAGTCTGAGTCTGAGTCTGAGTTTGAGTCTGTTGAGCAGGGGCGGGAGGTGCCGCTGCCAACTTGCTACCGCCGTTGTTGCTGGTGAAGTTGGTAAAGTCAAAGACGTCAGTCGATGCTGCCGTGACCTGTTGAGGGCGCTGCAGCAGGTTTGGTTGCTGTCCAAACTGACCCCCCTGCTGCTGCTTCTGCTGTGGTTGCTGCTGCGGCGGTGGAGGGCTCGAGTAGAAGCTATCGAGGTCCAAGAGATCGGCACTCATTGCTTCGGTTCCGTCACCTGCGGATGCACATGCTTCTGGGTAAATGTTCAGACGTCCAAAGGAATCCTGCCGGGATGTTGAGCAAAAGGTGACAGAAAAGAGAGAGAAAAAGCAACGAGAGGAGGGAGAAGAAAAAAAGGGTTGACGTCGGTCGGGCGACGATGGGGACAAAGGAGGCTAGATAGTTCAGGTACGGATATCTGACCTTATTTGAATAGGGGACCCTCTAACTCGCCAGCGTGCTCCTCGGGTAGAGTGGTAAACGGGGCTGACTGATGAAGGGAGGTCCCACGCGGCTGGGATGGCGGCCACGGTTGTGACGGCGGGATGGGGGGCCAACGGCCTAAAAAGCTCGGATAACCCCCTGCTGAGCGCCACAGCCACAGCAGCATGCGGGCAGATCCTTGGCCAAAACATACGGCGAGTCCGCGCCCCTGTGGATGCGGCGGCATCCATGGATGGAATTGGATGATTGACAGCCAGCCCTACAGAATGTCTCCAGTGAACTGCCACCCCCTACTGGAAGGGAGCTGGTGTTGAAGCATGTCTTGATGTGTATTGGATTGAATATATGTTTGCTACATGTGCATCAGAGAAGACTTGGGAAAACAACATGAAATGCGTCTTGCGCGAGACATGCAGCAACTAAACTAATTCCATCAAACGCAGGTAGCTTGGTCACGGTATATCATGTCATTGAGAGCGAGAACGAAACCTGGCAGCCGGAGCCAAGGAGAACATATAACAAATTGGGTTCTTGGTCAGTCAATTTTGGTGCTCTCGTTCGCCTTAAAGTCCGTCTTTTGCAAGAAATCGATTTTCAAGATGCCAATCTGGAAGCTTACCAGGAGCGCACAAGGCACAGGATCCCTGACGGTGCGCAATCATCGGTCGGCACGGAGCCTAGGACACGCCGACGTGGGGGTTTAGCGTAGAAATTCTCGAACTGAGCTCTAAAATTTACAGATGGGCCCAAGGGTCGCACTCGACAATCCTTCATCAACCTGCTCCATATCGCAAAACGCCCGCCATGCCGCCACGAACTCTGGCATCCCTATGCCCACGATGCCAATTCACACTCCGACCTCAAGCCTTTCCTAGACTAGCCACATCGCCATGGATCACACAAACCGCGAGCTACGGCGGCGCTGCACCCAAGGCGAAGACGCCTTCGCGCATGGTTCTGTCCGACAAAGTCTCCCGACCGAGAGATCGAGATGGAAAGCCGCCCCGACGACTGATCCCAGGACCTTTTGGCGGTATGAACCAGACGAACTTCAGAGCACCCGTAACTGCGCGACGCCCTGCGCGCCCGTCGCAGTCGAACACAAACCCAAGATCTCGGAGGGGCGACTCCGACTCCGGAGCGGACTCGAGAAAGGCGCTGAAGATGCAGCGGGCCCTGGCCGGCGTTTCGTATGGAAAGAGAAACCACTTAAAGGACAAGATGCAGGAATACGAATCCTTTGAGCAGTTCAATTTGCTTCCTCAAGTCAAGACTGGAATCTATGAGGATCTTTTGCGGGGCATGGTTGACGTCAAGCCAACGGCGGTTCAGAGACTTGCCATTCCGGCCATGTTGGGCCAGTCCAGCGCTTTCAAGGTCCGGGGCGAGAAGAGGCAGGACTTCCTGCTTGCTGCCGAGACGGGTTCTGGCAAGACGCTAGCATACCTGCTTCCGTCCGTCAATGCTTTGAAGATCGCCGAGGAACAAAACCCCGAGATCCAGGCTTACAAGAAGAGGTTTGAGGAGGAAAAGGCAAGAGAGCAGGCTTCCAAGTCGAAGAGGATGTCTGCGTTCGACGAGCCTCACCCGACCATGGCTAGACCTCGTGTCATTATTCTGGTGCCCTCGGCAGAGCTTGTAGACCAAGTCGGCCGTGTCGCCAAGACGCTGTCACACGCGGTCAAGTTCAAGTCCGAAAAGCTATCGTCGAATCTCAGCGCCAATCAAATCCAGCGCAATCTCTACTCCCCTCGCGGTGTGGACATGATCATCGCGACACCTCACCTGCTTGCCTCCATGGCAGACTCAGATCCCAACATCCTGTCACAAGTCACGCACTTGGTTGTCGATGAGGCCGACTCCTTGTTTGACCGAAGCTTCGCGCCTGTCACTACCTCAATTATTGACAGAGCAATGCCCTCGCTGCAGAAGTTCGTCCTCTGCTCGGCCACCATCCCCAAGAGACTGGACAACTACCTTGCCAACAACTTCCCTAACATGACCCGAATCACAACACCAAACCTCCATGCCATCCCTCGTCGTGTACAAATGGGTGTCATCGACGTTGTCAAGGATCCGTATCGCAACAACAAGAATCTCGCTTGCGCCGATGCTATTTACACCATTGGCCGGGAGGCATCGAAACATGAAGGGCCCGTCCAGGACGAGATTGATGTCCGTCGCATCATGGTGTTTGTCAACGAGCGCGAAAAGACCACAGAAGTTGCCGACTACCTGCGCTCCAAGGGCATTGACGCCATTGCCCTCAACAGAGACACGGCCGACATGCGTCAGTCGGAAATGCTCTCATCGTTCACCTCTGCGGAGCCTTTACGTGCCGTCCCCTCTCAATCCTCCGTTCAAGGCAAGCGGTCTCTACCCAACACCAAGGTCATCGTTGCCACCGATCTTGCTTCACGAGGTATCGACACTTTGGCAGTTCGTCACGTAATTCTGTACGATGTGCCGCACACCACAATCGACTTCATCCACCGTCTGGGGCGTGCAGGTCGTATGGGACGCCGTGGAAGAGGTATTGTCCTCCTCGGAAAGGACGACAAGAAGGACGTTGTTGCCGAGGTGAAGGAGAGCATGTTCATGGGACAAGCCCTGATTTAGGTTTGGGTCTCACATTTGTACAACACGATGTAAGAATATCATGTATACCAGAAAAGGGGATCACGATACGAGGTTATGGACGCATATATCTGAGATAGACTTGAGTTGGTGTCATCGGGGACGCAAAGGTCTCAACTCCGAGCTTAATTATCACTCCAGAAAAATCGCACGTTCGAGTAAAATCTTATCCGTATGATGGGTACATCAAAGCAAATGGTCTAGTTAATTACAACTCTCTAGCCTCCAATTGAGGCGCGACGTTGACAATGTGGCTGGTGGTGTGGCGCTAGCTCTGCTTTCAATTCGACGGCGGGTGGGTCATGACGGATTGAGCATCGTGGAAGGTGCGCGACGCGTTTCCCTCCCACACATCAAAATATCACAGACCCTCGCCATCCTTATCCTCAGCCACGCCCCCATCCTCAAGGTCGTAGCTCCGCCACTCGAGATATATCGATTTGCCGAATATCACTCCGAATTATCATACCCAATCCGCACCAATATCTCAGTAATTCGAAAGCATGCCGCGACCCAAGCGAACGCGTCGCGCCCCAGCCGCTTCAGCTGTCGCCGCTGTGACTGCTGTCGCGACCGAGGATAAATCGAGCCCCGCGCCTGCTTCGGGCAGCGACATTTACAGCCATAGCGATCGCGAACATTCGGTCATCAGGAAGGAGCATGAGGAGGAGACGCGCCTACGCAGGAGCACAAGTTTGCGCCAGCGGAAGGCGGCAGGTGGCGCATCAGACGAGGCTACGGAAGGCACCAAGAACAACAATAGGAAGCCGTCGGAGGACCAGCAGAAGTCCGACTCGTCAGTTGAGGCGGGACGGAAGACACGCGCGACACCGGTGCAGCAACAGAGGGATACCACGGGCTTAGACTTGGATGACGACTTGTTCGGACTCGATACCACGATGGACGACGATGATGATCCCGCCGCTGCGCCGCCGAGTGCGCCCCGCTCTGACACCTCGACCTTCTCGACCTTCAGTGTGAGCAACTTTCGGCGTCGCGGTCGCGCGCCGAGTATCAGCATCAACAAGGACGACAACCCCATCAGGCCGAGCAGTCGCGGGATCAGCACGCCAGGCATTAGCTCCATGTTCAACATCGGCAACTTCAGGCGCAGACAGAGGGAGCCGAGTATCTTGGGAACGGCACAGAAGGAGCGTGCTCAGCGTCCGCTGGAGCCATCGTCCGAACCTGAGTCTGGGGACGAAAATGAGGATGACTTCAACCCAGAGGCCGAGTCGACCCCCATCAACAACCGTCGCAGGACGCAGCCGCCACCTGCAGTTGAGCCTGACTCTGAGTCGGAGGCTGAGCCGGTGACCGATTCTCAACAGGTTTTGGCACCAGATTCACAACCCGAAAGGGAGGCCGCGGCTACTTCCAGTGCGAAGTCTCGGAAGCGGAAGAGTGTAGAAAGCCATGACGATGAAGACCGTCCTGGCAAGGCTTCGCGGACAGAGCCTGAGCAGCCCGAGCTGATCGATGACGACAGCGACTCGTCTCTGTCTGACTTGCCTTCCCTTGTGATGACTCCTACACGGGCATCAAACATCCCTCGCCCAGTCACGCCCAACCAGGATGAGATTATGGCACCGCCCGAGAGCAGTGGCTCCGAAGATAACGAGGCGTGGCCCGACATCCACACATTAGCCAAGCATCGCCGTCGTCGCGCCTCGCCGACTACGCCGATGCGGGACGGCAACATGTCTGATGTCTCATCCCCGCCCTCCCTAACCCACTCGCCCAACTTTCCCGCCACACGCAAGAATGCTCAGAAAAAGAAGCAGCAAAAGAAGATGACGACAGCAGAGCTGACGGGCTTGCTGCCCCAGAGACGCCACAAGAAGACCCGCGATCCTTTTGACGCGGAAGACTCAGAGGACGAGGACGAGGACGTCGAGAACGCGAACGGGGCCCAGGACGACGACGAGCTTTCATACGCCGATACGCGCACGCGTTCTCGGCGGGCAAAGACGGCACCTCTTAACCGTAGCTCGGCCAACCGGCCTCCCTCCCGCGGCGGCAAGACTACTGCGACTGCAAAATCTGAGCCAGCGACGAGAAGCAGCCGTCCCTCGCGGACCTACAGTCGCCGTCTGTCTGATAAGGAGAATCAGGTCGAAGATCAGGATGCCGAGGTTGAGGATGTCGAGGATGTGGCGGATGTGGCGGAGCCTGCGGGCGAGGCTGAAGAAAGCTTTGCTCCGGGTGCTGAGGATGAGACGGTGGAGCTGCCAGAAGGCAGCGATCCGATGCCTACTGCCGAAGAGCTCAAGCAGGCAGCCCGCAAGTTCAAAGAGGTCGACCGCTGGGAGCTGGAGTTCGAAGAGGTCACGGAGGCCTCGTCACCGAATCGGGATGCGCGGTGAATGATAAAGAAGAGGGACGGGGCGGATATCTTATTCAAAACGGACATGATTATTACCGGTTTGTTTTTGCTTCGGGACAAAAGGAAATGGCGTGGATGGGAGGAAACGGAGTTCCATATCATGTTTACGAAGGTTGGGAGGGGGTTTTTCCTCGCATCGGCAAAATGTGTTCTCCGGTTCAGTTTGACAGCTCACACTTTGCATCGCGGCCTCGCTGGAGAATGGCGTTTTGACTGTTTCTTCGTCATGGAGAAAATTTGCAGTCGATACGGAAAACAGAGCTAATTATTTGCACATCTCAGCGGCGCAAGCTGCTTCTCTTCACTGCCGTGGTATCGCCATACCTACTTTTGAATGCCTGTAACGCCTTAAATCTCATTCCAAATCCAGAACGCCGCCCGCAAACAGTGGGAACTCGAGCAAGCCAACAAGGGTCTCATTTCCTGAGCGAAACGGCCTGCACTTCCCGCTCGACGGTGGGCAATAGGTTCATGAGCACATTCGGGTCGCGCAGGGCAATGACAATATCATCTGGCAACCGGCCCTCCATGAATAGTGACTGAGTCGGCAGTTAGCATTACGCGGGCCGTTGTGTTCACCGAACGGAACTCACCCTCTTGACGTTTTCGAAGCTGGCCTCCTTGGCCGTGTACTCCCGAATGACCTCGTCCGTCTCGAAATCCACATAGACCCTCGTATCGCGAATGCGCACGATGACGTTGTCGAGCCTCATGAACAACCGGCACAGCAGCAGCATCCTCTTCTCGTGCACGCGCAGCTTGACGCTCACAATCGAGATTCCGTTATCGTCGAGCTCGCTCTCGAACAGCACGACCTCGTCGAAGAAGAGGATCGGATCGCGGCGCTTGAGCAGCTCGAGGGGAATCTGCTTCTCCTGCGTGTCCTCCAGCTTCTTGCCCTCAGCGCCGTCCTGCGCCAGCGTGCCGCGGTACTCGGTCGAGTAGGACCAGTCGTAGGGCTTGACGACCTCCTTGATGCCGGCGCTGGTCTTCTCGCGGGAGGAGGACCAGTCCTTGGCGTAGGCGACCTTGAGCATCTTCTTGTCCGTCTTGTCGACGCCGTCGAGGGCGTCGTAGGCGTTGAAGGAGATGGACCAGCCCGTGGGGATGTGGGTTATGCTGACGAGGTTGTCGCCGAAGATCATCTCCGGGACGGGGATGCCGAGGGAGGCTGTCATTTCGTCGATAGGGCCGGCCTTGGAGATGGGGAGCTTTCGGGTCGAGATGCGGAAGCGGGATTGCGTGTGGGAGGTCGTCGCGGCGTCGAGGGCGGCCGGCTTTAGGAAAGGTTCGTTTGGGGAGGTTATGTGGTTCATCTTGTCGGTCGGCGATCGCGTTGCTGGTTCGAAGTGTTGGGACTGTGCTGGGGAGGCGGGAGAAAGAGGCGACCTTGAAGACTGCTGGTTGGTGTTAAGGTGAGGTCGAAGGAAGTGGCCCGGTTCGGATCGGAGGTAAGGTAGTTGGAGAGCTCTGGAGGTGGTGGTGGTGATGGTGGGGTTTGGCGGGGAACACTGGAGGTCTCAGCATCCAATCCCTGCATCTCTCGGTGAGCTGAGGGTAGACGTCACTTTCTCCACCGAGGTCACCGAGTCACCGAGGCCGTGTAAGACAACCCCATGGCTTCCTCTGCATCACATCTTGCTTTGGTGCAGTGAATACCCTGGACGTCTGTGGTCTCTGAGAGAGGAAATAGACTGCTTCATATCATCAGTATGACTCGTGGCACATCTCAAATCTAGCATCCTCTGCCGCCTCGCATATAATCTGTCAATCGCTATCCTGGGCTCTCTGCATAGGCAAGGCTTCATGGATCCAATGAGATAGGTTGAAGGGTGCCAAATCTGGAGTTCGCCTTCCAAGTGCTCCGAATACCATTTTTAGAGAATCTGAGAAAGTAAGGGCCCAGAAGGAGCCATCCTGCTCGCAGGATAAGGTATGCAACAGTAGGACTAGTAGGCCGTTCCTTCCTCGAATGTTTCCACTGAACCATTTTCCTCAGCCGCTGTTGCCCGATGTGACTTCAACTTGCTCCTTCATTTCTTATCAGTGGAACTCGAGAGGTAAAGTACGACCACGAAGACTGCAAGAACGCCAGCACATCCGCCACTTTCACTACGTCCGATACTCATTCCATTATCCACTACCTACCCATTACCATCGTTTATCTTCGTTACCATGTGGTATGACCCAAGAGAACTTCCAGCTGTGCAGCTGATGCAGTCACCGACGCCGGAGAGCGACTATGTGACAATCGGAGCAACATGCAATAGATGTCTCAGGACGTTCAAGACAGTAGCACACCGAGATTGGCTGTTGAATCTCCTATCAGCAAAGATCTGGTTGTCGGGGTCAGAAAAGGTGAAGCAGGCCCGCTACGACTTAACCGAATACTTAGCCTACGAAGGAGGGCCCTCTTTCATGTTTTCATGGCTGTTCTGCCCTGTTAAACCAGACTGCGAGCCACGGCATCACCAACCACAACATAACCCCATCGGCGGCCCGGATAGCAGGTTTTAGAAAGGATACAGCCCTAAACTGCTGGCGGGAATAGGAAACCCGGAGACGTGGAAGGACAAGAACAATTACCAGCTCACTCGGAATCGTCTGGAAAAAGCGCTTTTTCAAGACCATTTGGACAACGGATAGAGAAACTACATGCAGTTCCGTCTGGGTTGGTACAACTTTACATTCAATGGAGCCATCATGGTCTGCTCCGAGTACAGTCCTACCCAACGCATGTAGGGCATTGCCATCGTCGACTTGTTCTTATTGGACCAAGGACTAATCAGCCCGATAATGTTCGCGAGTCTTTACCACACGAGCTCCGAAAACATCCGCTTTCTCGTTCTGAGCCGGAGGTTCCGGGAGCTGAACACACTCGATACATACGCCGGAGTGTCAGCACAGCCGGCGAAGGTCTACGACATCCAGGACACTACAGTATTCGCCGCAGACAAAGCACTGACCAAGATTCGCCAGTTGCCGCCCGGGAATCGTCCACAGTCAAACCCTTACCGAGAATACAGGATTGTCCGAAAGATGCTTCGTGAAGCTGGTCTGCCTGGCCGTTTCAACCGCAGAGACGCTCAACATGCACTGAAGGTCCTCGGATCAAGATATCCTGAAGGACCGGACGAGACCACACCCCAGCCCCCATCGGCTCCCCGGCCCCTACCGGCTCCCCAAGTACATCCTGAACAGAGCACCAATGACAGAGGTCCTGACATGACCAAAAGCTCATATTATGATACTAGCGCGGGTGCGCGCCGCATGTTCGCCAGAATGGCCGGAATGTTCCGTCGGCCGATTCGTCAACCGGCGGAACCCGTGATTGAATATCGTACACCTGTCACAAGGCCTCTATGGGATAGCCATGGGAAGCGGCGATGTTACTCGGTCAACTTCGATGATCAGCCATCAGCCATGAAACTGTTGGTTAACAGGAGCAATCGCCCCTTGAGTTACGACGCTGGACCGAGAAACATCGAGGATGTTTTGCCCAACAGAAACGCTTGAAGCGGAGCTCAGCAAGACGACATGAAGTAGACAAACAGCGAAGATACTAGAAAAGCAATAACAAGAAGCGATCACGCCCATTTCTTAAGTACAGTTGATTGACTTGAGTTTTGACGTGAACGTGATTACCTCATGGCTATCGGCACCTTCGTATCAATTTCATGCCGCACCACGGGGATAAGTGGGAAGGTAACAGTCGATACGACGAGACTGATTCAAGCAATGTTGAGGGCAGCGACAGCACGTGCGACGATTACGCCAGAATATTCTATATATTAGGCCGATAATAGCTCGATGGGTTTGAATTGGTGTTGAAGGCAAAAGCAGCGAGGCTTCGTCTGGCCAGGGTCAAACACATGTCTCAATAGAAGAATACTGGGCCAAGCGAAAAATGAATAGGTGCAGCAAACTGAGAAGAGAGATGGTGACGGCGTACGTCGCTGCTTCAACTGAAGATATTCAAGAAGCAACGCTGAAAATGGCTGAAAATGGCTGAAAATGGCATGGAAATTATGAGGCTGTAGGCAATAGCAGCATCAATTAATGAGTTGGCAGGAACCAGGAAGCACATAGTTGTCAAAACAAGGCCCTTACAAAACAGCGTTGTCAAGAGAGCCACTTGACTCAACCAAACCCCGCATCGGATCTTGAAACAGTGCTTGCAAAGAAAGCAGGCTAGGGAGACATCGGCCAAATACATCTACCAGCCTTCGAATAACCAACAACGGGAAAGGTTCACGCCAGGGAGCTGACATCGCAAGCGCCCGCGCTGTCCTTGGGGGAGTGGAAAGTGGGGGGGCTGGAGGGTGTGGGGCGGGTCGCTGCCCTGGTGCTGTTCCCCCGGCAACCAGGCTCACCCCCGTTGTTTAGGCGGCTGAGCATCGTTACCCGAAGCTTTTCTTAATAACCAGGACAGCCACTCCAGTTTCTTTCCAAAATACCTCCACGGCACTCTTCTAACCAACAGGGAACATTCATCTTTCGTCATCCTCTCAACACACAGCACGATGGCCACACGAACGTTGGAGTCGCGCTTCGAGCGCATGTCTGTGAATGACGAGAACGACCCATGCGATGGCTCCAAGCTCTATTCCAAGGCTCAGGTTCGTGCCGTCGCCGTCGCACAAGTCCATCAAACCGTACAACGGCTTGCTAACTTCTCTCTCAGTCAATTGTCAAGACATCACAGCTGGCGCACAGCTCGAGCAGACCGAACCTCATCAAGGTCGCCCTCCAGTCCCAGAGCACCAATGCCGTCGCTTCGGTAAAACTCCCCTCGCAATCAGCACAACGTGAGGCGAAAAACCCTACATCACCGACGAGAAAGCCCCTTCCCTCCAGCTCCTCAAGGACGTCCGACGAGGTCGTTGAGATTGAGCGCAAGTCCGCCGTCTCCGTCGTCATCGAGCCCGCACCTCCCAAGGTCTTCCACCTCGGCATGTTCGAAATCGGTCGCCCTCTTGGCAAGGGCAAGTTCGGTCGTGTATATCTCGCCCGCGAACGCACAAGCGGCTTCATCTGTGCCCTCAAGGTCCTGCACAAGAACGAGTTGCAACAGGGCCGCGTCGAGAAGCAGGTCCGTCGTGAGATTGAGATCCAGAGCAACCTGCGCCATCCCAATATTCTCCAGCTGTACGGTCACTTCCACGACAGCAAACGTGTGTTCCTGATTCTCGAGTTCGCCGGCAAGGGAGAGCTATACAAGCACCTCCGCAAGGAGAGCCGCTTCCCCGAGTGGAAGTCGGCACAGTACATCGCCCAGATGGCCTCGGCGCTGAAGTATCTTCACCGCAAGCACGTCATCCACCGTGATATCAAGCCCGAGAATATTCTGATGGGAATCCACGGCGAGATCAAGATCTCTGATTTCGGCTGGAGTGTGCACGCCCCCAACAACCGCCGCAACACCATGTGTGGAACGCTCGACTACCTGCCGCCTGAAATGATCAAGCCCGGCAGCTCGGACAACTACTACAACGAGAAGGTCGACCTTTGGAGTTTGGGTGTCTTGACGTACGAGTTCCTTGTTGGTGAAGCGCCATTCGAGGACACGCCCGTCATGACGCAGAGGAGAATTGCTCGGGCCGACATGACTGTGCCGTCATTCGTCAGTCCCGAGGCGAAGGACCTGATTAAGAAGGTGAGCCGCATTCCAGTCAGCCCTACCACGACCATGACTAACCGTTGTCCCAGTTGCTTGTCCTTGACCCCGAGAAGAGAATACCCCTGGACCAGGTCCAAACCCACCCGTGGATCGTCAAGCACTGTGTAAAGGGCGAGAGAGCGTCCAACCGTGAGAGAAACTCCTAATTAATGACCATCATGATTCATGCATACCAGCCAAGGCATAACGGTCCTTGTAGGATTAGCGGCGTTCATTCTTTTTATTAATGCTGGATTAGGCCGGCTCTGATCTACGGCTTGTTGGGGTATGGGGTTTGTTTCCACTGCATGTATGGGAGTTGGGATTCTTCATGTCGTTTTTTGAGTAGCCAACGAAAACCATAGTCATATCATCCAAGCATTCAACACTGCTTCGTGGTGCTTCGTATGTGAGGAGACAAATTACACGAGTCGGGGGTATGGTACACGCTCTATGCTGAGCAATCTCAACCATTCATTACCTGTAGACCTCGTCAAAGGGCCTGGTGTCGTTGAAGCACGACTCCCACACTTGGTTGACTACCTTGGTCGCCTGGACGTCGTCCTTGCACCTCGGCCGGTTGAGGACGGATTGTATCGCGCGCTTACGCACGCAGTCCTGGAACTGCTGCGACAAACTCCAGTTCCCCCTTGTGAACGCCTCTCTGGTCCATCTGCACTCGCCGCTCAGCGCAGAAGCACGAATCTGTCCAAGTCAGTCTCCCCCTCCAGCAAGCTTTGACTAGGCCACTCACCTCGGTACACGCCGCATGCTTCAAGTCCAAATCGCCCATCCAGTCCACGTTCCACCTCAGGTGGTCCCACGCATGCACCATCTCGTGCGAGAGCGTATCCTCCAGATGCTTCCGGTCCCTCACCTCGTTCGCGCAGATCAAGATGCCGTGGGCGGGGCTGAAGCCGCCCGACTGGCGGTGCACCTGACCGTCCTCGGTGAGGCGCGCGGGGCACCGCCTGCAGAGGATGTTGGAGCTGTCGAGCTCGCCGTTGAGGGCGGCGATCTTGTCGTTGAGGAAGCGGACGGTCGGGGAGAAGGCGAGCAGCCAGTCGCGGTGCTCCTCGCAGCGCTTGCAGTCGCGCTCCTCGTTGGCGCGGTAGCGGTGCTCGCGGTAGTGGAACTGGCCCTCGGGGGTCATGCGGCCGGTGAGGACGTTGAAGTAGTTCATCCACCACTTGGTCTGCGGGTTGAAGCCGGTGCGGGCGGGATCGTTGCGCAGCTCGCGAGGGAGTCCTTCGGCTGGCGGCGCTGTTTGTGTCTGGGAGGGGGCTTCGGAAGCCATTGTGGGCGATTGATGCTGCGGCTATTGAGGAGTGGGAGGGGGCTTTCGACGAGGTTGCAGGCGAGAAGCGGTCTTTCGGCGCGAGTTGGAGTTGTTGGTTGATGATGGCTGAGGTAAGGATGGGGTAGGTTGATTGGAGGTTGGACGGAAATTTTGGCTGTTATCGATAACGAGTCTAGGTGCATCGTGCATGTGGTGACAACGCCTAATTTAGTGGACCGACTCAGTTGTCGATGATTTGAACATTCCAGCACATGGGCGATCGAGTATGACGTTCTAATAGGATTGAATTGTACATATGAATCACAGACAAATATGGGTTTGAAGATATTGATCATCGTTAGGTTTTCTCACCGTCAGTCCGTTTTGTTCAATGGAGTAAACATCTCAAATGGAGATCATGTACCAAAGACAAATGGGCGGATCTTTAAACGACATCCGTCGAGTAATCGACACCTACACTTATTAAGCCATGAGTTGAAGTTAGCGACTAGAATACCCATTTCCGTCTCTATCAACGTCCCTTTCATCGGCTTTAGTCGTCTTCGACAGTTCTGAATCCTGTGGGCTTTTTTTGCCAGAGTCCACTGCCAAGTTGTGGCTTGCGATTTTGGTGTATGAAGTGCCTCTTAATTAGCTACCCAGGTACAGTAACACAGGTCAGGGAAGGCGCGCCCTACCGGAAGACACTGCAGTTTCAAATGCACATTCAAGCGGTCAAACGCCCAATTACCCGATTCATGATCTCATTCTTCCCAGACCCAAACAGGGGTTAAGAAAAGGCGGCATGCCAACGCTCTGCTGAAGATGCCGCTAGCCCCGGGTTTTAGTGGCATTACCCGCCATCTCATAGGCCCGCGCAGCCTACCGACCCCCGTGTTCCCGTCCTTGCACCGGTCGATCCCGACATCGGGGCCATACAGGGTGATTTTTTTTTCTCTTGCCAACCCGCACGGCAGTCAGAGTCATTCCCGCGACGACAAAGGGCGCGACCAGGGGCCTTGGACAATGTTCCCATCGTCCCACAATAACTCGACACCGGCTGGTTTGGCATTGGCAATGGCGGAAGAGACTGGTCCAACATGTAAGAGGATCCAGTATTTTTCCTAAATACGTAATGTTGCCCAATTCGCTGGTTTAATCCTTGGGCTCATCGTTCTTTTGGCTTTAAATCTGCATGTTTACTGCTCGTCGCTGTTGTTCATTTGGAGGAACGTGTGTGACTAACTCTGAATCCCCTCGTTCGCAGATATGAAGCACCGTGAGGGCTCAAAACCCCTGACGGTGGTGCTCAAGCTGGGTGAGTCGCTGTCCCTCCCCCTCATTGTGTCTCATGGCCCGATCTAACTCGATCTCACAGGCACCAGCTCCATCGTTGATGAAAACACTCGGCAGCCCCTGCTGTCGATTCTCAGTCTCATTGTCGAGACGGCAGTCAAGTTGAGAAAGGATGGCCATAGGGTAGTCATCGTCTCATCCGGCGCCATCGGCGTCGGTCTCCTCCGCATGGAGATGGAGAAACGCCCGAAACATCTGTCAACGCTACAGGTGCGTTCATCTCTGAGCCAGAGCATCTGACATTAGACTGACGGATGAATATAGGCGTTGGCTGCCATCGGACAGTGCAGACTCATCAGTCTATGGGACGATCTCTTTGGGCACTTCAGGCAACCAGTTGCTCAGATCCTTCTCACCCGCAGCGACATTGCAGATGTAAGTGAGCATCTTGCCGTCTAGTGGACATGGGTTCTGACAAGGTGGCAGCGGACACGATATCTCAATGCCCAAAACACATTCAACGAGCTCCTAGACCTGGGCGTCATTCCAATTGTCAACGAAAACGACACCCTCGCAGTATCAGAAATCAAGTTCGGCGACAACGACACCCTCTCCGCCATCACCGCAGGCATGGTCCACGCAGACATGCTCTTCCTCATGACCGACGTTGACTGTCTCTACGACAAGAACCCCAGGACACACCCCGACGCGCAGGCTATCGAGGTTGTCGAGGACATTTCCAGTATTCAAGCAGATGGTACACTCAACCCGTTCCGCTCCTCACTCTCAGAACTAACACCTCCCCCTCAGTCTCAACAGCAGGCTCCGCCCTCGGCACCGGCGGCATGATGACCAAGATCGTCGCCGCCCGTCTCGCGACCTCCGTCGGCGTCACAACCGTAATCACACGCTCTTCCAACCCGGGAAACATCGTCAAGATCGTCCGCTACATCCAGGCCCAACAGAGATCCTCCCCGCGCCTGGACCCGGGCTCCGACGGCGAGCAGGATGGCCACCACGCCGATGACCCCCTCTCCCAGTCCACCGCCTCCCTCCGTCTCGACCAATCCGTCGAGAAGCCACCGCTGCACACCCGCTTCCTCCCCTCGCCGGATCCCATCCGCGACCGCCACTTCTGGATGATTCACGGCCTCAAGCCCCACGGCACGCTCTACATCGACGCCGGCGCGCACAGTGCTCTCCTCAGGAAGGCTGGCCTGCTGCCCGCGGGCGTGCTCGACGTCGAGGGCAACTTTGCCCAGCACGAGGCCGTGAGGCTTGTCGTCGTGGAGAGGCTGCACACCCCGGACGCGAGCGGGAAGACGTGGACCGGCACGCCGCTCGAGGTCGGCCGCGCGCTGGTCAACTACGCCGCGCCGGAGGTGATGCGCATCCGCGGCCACCAGAGCTCCGAGATTGGCGGGCTGCTCGGGTACGCTGACAGCGAGTACGTGGCGGAGAGGCAGCACATCCGCATCTGGAGCGGAGAGAGCCGGCCGCAGACGCCTAGCTTGGAGAAGCAGTTCAAGGAGCAGGTGAAGGAGCAGATTGTCGAGGAATTCATTGCAGGGGTCGCTGGTTACGAGGGAAAGGCATGATTATAGAGAGGCTTTGAAAAGGTTTGGCATACGGAACGGGAACACTGCATGATGGAAGAGGAAAAGGCAAATGCCATGATTTGAGGAGCGATCCGCCACCATTTCAGCATTATGGGGGTGTCAGTATTAGACTTGCTGTTATGACGAGAAGAAGAAAAGTATATGACCAACAACAAAACGCCGTCAAGATGCCCCCCTCCTTGTCATCTACTCTTTTTTGTTTGAAACCAAGAAACGCCAGCCCGTATACACACGCATAGTTGTCCACCAATGGGTATTTTAGACCTTCCCCAAGCTTTTTAACCAGTCGCAAAGAGGGTATCTTCGTCACGCAGGTACTCGCCGGCGTCAGATTGCCTGAAGCACACGACACCAGTGGGATCGAGACGGCGCGCCTCGGCGGTGGAGCGGGCGGTGACGCCGAATCCGAGGGGCTTGTCGTCCATGGAGTAGACGATGACGCCCTGGTGCTCGGGGCAGTCGTCGGACCAGCGGCCGACGTGGGCCTTGACGATGTTGCCGCCGTAGAGGAAGGGCATCTCTCCGTTAGGCTGTGTTGCGCCGAGAGTCAGTGGCTGCGTATCTGAAGTGCGCTGAGAGTGCGTTCCGACATACCTTGACCCAGATCTTGTATCTCGCGTGCTCGCTGAGAATAGGGAGCGCCGTAACGTGCAGGCGGAACTTGCCCGTCTTGGTGAACTTGCCTACACGACCGTCTGGTTAGCGAAAAGGACTTTCTGGGCCTGGGATATAGCGTCGCATAACGCACCGAGACAGATGCCGATGCTGAGCAGCTTGTCGCGGGCGATGCTGGTCGCGAGGTTGGCGACGGACAGGCGCACGTAGTAGACGCGGTCCTTGATCATGCGGAAAACATAGCGGTCTGCGTCGGGGGAGTTGTCGAGAGGGGCGATGAGGTTCTTGAGGGAGCTGCCCATGTAGCTGGCCAGCTTGTTGAAGAGAGTCTGCGTCTCTTGTTCCGTGAGGGGACGCATCTTAGCCAATTTTGCGTTTCGTCGACTCTCGGTGTGTTTAGTGAGGGCAAGACAAGAATGCTTTCAGAGATGTCAAGTCCGTGCCGAGAGTGGGATGTATCGCGATGCCAAAGGTTGGAGTAGCGGCAGAAACCCGAAAAATTTCGGGCGGTCAAAGACACTACCAGGATTATAATTGGCTCAATGGGTCAAAGTTCCACTAAAAAGTTCTCGACAGTCCCTCTTCTGCTGCAATGCCCCAGGGTCCCATCCAATCCATCTCAGCATCGAGAAATCTCGAGCAGAACCAGACATTGACGGACAAGGCCTCTTGCCCCCTCCGACACCCGCCCGTCAACAATGTCGTCCTCCAGAGCCCCCAAACGCCGTAGGCTCACGCCGCCCCCCGAAGACGACGAACCGAAATCCCGCTCCTCAAAGAAGATCCAGAAGCAGTTCTTCAAGAGCGCCGCTGGATGGGACCTGGAGCAGGATTACGAGAACCGCAAGCATAAGAGGGGCAAGAAAGACAAGAAGGAGAGTAACCGCCTGCCCATCAAGACCGCCGACGGCCGTATCGAGCAATTCCGTGCGCTCGAGGGCGACAACGACGATGCCGCTTCCGTAGAGAGCGACGGTGATTGGCTCGAGGGTAAAGAGGACGAAGATGCTATCGCCGAGGCCGAGGCCGAGGCCGAGAGGCTGCGCCAGACAAGAAGGAAAGAAGAGGAGGAGTCAGACTTGCCGGAGCACGTCCAGATTCTCCAGGCCAAGGAGGAGCTCGCCAAGATTGCGACGGCGTTGAACGAGGACCCGGAAGAGAATGTCAGCGCCTTCAAGGCCCTGGCCAAGATCGGCCAGTCGAGCATCCCGACCATCCAGAAGATCACCCTGGCCACCCAGCTCGCCGTCTACAAGGACGTCATCCCAGGCTACCGCATCCGCCCCGTTGCCGAGGACGCCCCGGCCGAGAAGCTGTCCAAGGAGGTCCGCAAGCTGCGCGCCTTCGAACAGGCACTCGTCTCGGGCTACCAGGGCTACGTGAAGGAGCTCGCGAAATGGGCCAAGCTCGACATCCCCGCCACTCGCAAGAACGGGCAGAGCATCTCGAGCGTCGCCATCGCCTGCGCGTGCACGCTTATCAACGCCGTGCCGCACTTCAACTTCCGCACCGACCTGCTCAAGATCCTCGTCGGCAAGCTCTCGAAGCGCAAGGTCGACGCCGACTTTGTCAAGTGCCGCCGCGCCATCGAGACGCTCTTCAAGGAGGACGAGGAGGGCCGCCCCGCCATGGAGGCCGTCGCGCTGCTCGCCAAGATGATGAAGGCGCGCGAGTTCGCCGTCGACGAGACCGTGGTCAACCTGTTCCTGCACCTGCGTCTGCTGGACGAGTTCGCAGGCAAGGGTTCGCAGGACCGCGTGGACCACGAGAAGGACCCTGGCGCGCCGCCGCCGCGCAAGGCCTTCAAGAAGGAGTTCCGCACCAAGAAGCAGCGCAAGCAGATCAAGGAGCAGAAGCAGATCGAGAAGGACATGCAGCAGGCCGATGCGTTGGTCAGCCACGAGGAGCGTGACCGTATGCAGTCCGAGACGCTGAAGCTGGTTTTCGTGACGTATTTCCGCATCCTCAAGTTGCGCGTCCCGCACCTCATGGGTGCCGTGCTCGAGGGTCTGGCCAAGTACGCCCACCTGATCAACCAGGATTTCTTCGGCGACCTCCTGGAAGCCCTGAAGGACCTCATCCGCCACGCCCAAGAAGATGCAGAGGGCGATGCGGAACCCAGCGCCGAAGAAGCTGCCGCCGCAGAGGAAGAAGACGACGACGATGCCGTGGCGCGCAACACTACCCGTGAAGCTCTCCTCTGCACAGTAACCGCCTTCGCTCTGCTCGCAGGCCAAGACGCGCACAACTCCCGCTCCGAGCTGCACCTCGACCTCTCCCACTTCGTCACCCATCTCTTCACCTCCCTCCCCGCGCTCTCCATGAACCCCGACCTCGAGCTCACCTCCAAATCCCTGCACATCCGCCCCGGCGCCACGCGCGACAACCGTGTAAACCTGCAGACCACAACGGTCCTCCTCCTGCGCTGCCTGACGGCCGTGCTGCTGCCCACATACCAGATCCGCTCCGTACCACCGCTGCGACTCGCGGCCTTCTCGAAGCAACTCATGTCGGCGGCGCTGCACACCCCTGACAAGTCCACACAGGCGGTGCTGGCATTACTGCAGGATGTGGCGCACACGCACGGAAAGAAGATCAGCGCGCTGTGGAGGACGGAGGAGAGGAAGGGCGACGGCATGTACAATGCGTTGAGCGACAGTGTAGAGGGCAGCAATCCGTATGCGACAACGGTATGGGAGGGGGAGCTGCTGCGGAAGCATTTCTCGCCCCAGGTTAGGGAAGGTGTGAAGATACTAGAGAAGAGCATTGGTAACGCATAATTCTAAGACAGAGGCGTTGGGGAATAAAAAGAGGTTCCGTTCCATCGTCTGCTCGTAATACCCTTCGAAACGTAACTGTTTGGGCGGACTTGATACAAGTACGTTTGTTGTAATACTCCATGTCACTGAAGGGCACAAAATTTCTACGGAATTGTTGATTGGCTATCTATCTATCTACGAATCGGTGACTGGTCCATCAATCCTTGAGCAAAAATGAAAACCGGGTGGTTGATATCCTTGCGGATAAGGCCCTCGATGCTTAAGCGCACTTCTCAGTCCAAATCCAGGGGAACCCAATGCCTCTCAATCCTGAGCACGTGTTGTATGCACTCCTAACCTTGTGATCTCGCCAATTTTTCTTCTCTCGTATCTGGTCTGCGTTCCGTCATCGCAGGCAGTGGTCTTTTCCAGCATCTCGAAGTATGGCTGCCAGATGGCATTATTACCGAGTGTTGGGGTACCAACGTATCGTCATTATCCGAACATGTGTATCATCATAACATCGTGCGAAGGATCAATTGCTGAGAAGAGTCGGCCATGCCTTCAATCATAAGCACATGGAGGGAGGTTTCGTGTCAACTTTCTGCCTGCCGAACCGGAGGCGGACGTCAGCAGAGCATGTCTGTCAGCTGTATAACAAACAGCGTTCCGACTCCCTTCTCGTCTTGAACCTTATCAAGCCCAACGGGAGCTGCTGAGGCCGCGACCATGGCCGGTCTTCTTCGGAGCACGCTTTGTAGCAGCTGTCTCGGCATACATGATAACCTCGAGGTTGTCCTCTTGCTCAGGCAAGGTGGCAGGAATAGCTCCGAACCACAAGGGGTAGTCGTCCTTGCACTTCTGAAGGACGGGGCAGTCCTCGTTGCTGTGGGTCAGAATAATGGCGTTCACAAGAAACTTCTGCGGGTCCGTAAGTGCCTTATCGCCATCCTCATCGACATTGAACAACGAGTAACTGAGTCCATGCAGACCACGGGGTCGCTCAGGGCAGTTGCAGGTCTTGGGATCGTCCGCAACGTCCTGCACCGTCTTGGCAACCGCGGTGCTCTGCATAACTGGCTGAACAACCTTGCCATCGGCTGCAGGCAAGGTCTGCATGCTTTTTAAGAGGTCTCTGATAGCAGAGGGATCCTTTCCTTGGAAAACATCCCAAAAGGCGGCGAAGGAAGCAGGCTCAGCTCCTGACGTGGGAGTGATCGAGTTGTCTGCGGTGATGGTAGGGGCAATGGCCAAGCTAGCCAGCATGCGGTTAGCAATTCCCTCTAAGAGGGCATGCTTCTCCTGTTCAGTTCGGGAGCCCGAGCAGTTGTTGTCGATGCTGGTAAGGACAGGCTTGCTTTCCTTGCCGTTGCCAGACTCGCACACTGGAAGAGCATTCTTGCGCGGGTTCTCCACAGTCGTGCTGTCATTGTCAGCCCAGATTCTCTGACCAAGACCAGTGCGTTGAGCTGGAGCGGGAGACTTCTCAGGCTTCACATGGTCTTGCTTGTCGTGCTCGCGAACGACAGGACCAGCAGCAGGTTGAATCTTGGTGATAGAGGCTTCGGGAAGAGCGGCAGGCCGAACAGGGGCCGTGTTCTGGGAAGGAACCACACGAGGAGCAAGATGAGGCGGGATCCCAGCAGAGGTGTTGTTAGACGTAGAGGCGTTGGTCTGCTGTCTAATAGCGGGATCCAAGGAGGTAGCGTCAACACGGGCGAGATGAGGAGCTGCAGCTTGAGTAGCTGTAGAGGCTGTGTTGCCAGGAGCAGCGGGCCGACCCGCACTGCCGTCGAGGAACGACTGGAGGCTCTTGTCGACCTGTTTAGGGGCTGCGTTGGCGCTAGCTGAGGCCGGAGCAGTCTTCCGACTTGACAAAGGTAGAGGCCGGGCTTCCAGATTGTTAGTAACTTGCCAACAGAGAGATTGTCAGGAGACTTACTCATTGTAGTTAAGTGTGGCTTAGAGGAGTAAGGTCCAGCAGGAAGGCGGGGATCTCCTCGACTATATTCAGTCCGAGGACCAACAGAAACAGGTCCATTGCCTCCGATTCTGGAAGTGCCCCGTCCTCCGCGGCCGCGTGCAGAACCACCGCGAGAATCTCTTCCGGACTTGAAGTCTTTGCTGAGCTCTCTGGCAGCGGCCATCTGATCTAGGTGTGACAGCATCTTGAGAGATCTAGTACTGGCGTTCCGTGGAATGTTGAAATAAGGCAACCGTGCTTGTCTAGGAATGCCTGCGTAGATGCCTAGACGATCTGTCAAAAGGGTCCAAAATTCTCGACAGGCAGGCTTACCTGGAGGAATGAATGATCCAACAGGACTTATCGTTGAGATAGTTTTTGAAGGATAGGAACCAACGTGAGCGACCCTGAAGTCCAAAAGCCTCCGAAGAAAAGGTGAAGGCGGAAAGAACTAGAGAATTCAGCCAACAGAGCCTAGTCAGGTGTTAGCGACGCATGAAAATTGGTCGACAGTAACAGCGGTGATTTTCAGGTGACAACACTATGAATGTCGATGATGGGGAAAGTCACGGGAGGATGAAGTGACTTCCTAGGATCAGAAGGTACACTGCGCCTCCCCAATGTCAGGAAGGAGGGTTAGTTGTTGAGGAAGGAGGGAAGGCGCTGGGAGTTCCGACCTGCGACCTTGGCGAAGAAGGCGATCCTGAAAGACCGGAGGAAAAATCCAAAGCTCGAAGGACATATACTTGCCTTCCAAGATGAGAGGTTGTAGATATTCAGTTCGGTCTGCACGCCCTCCGGAAGGTGAAAACCGAGTAGCCCAAACGAAAGACGGATCGCGGTTGGTGCCTAGAAAGAGTTTGAAGGCGGGCGAGTAATGCGTGAGGGAGGGGGGAAGAAGAAAAGTAGGCAGGTGAAGGGATAGAGAAGGGCAGGATGTAAAATACCCAGCGGCTTGGCGGGGTAGGTTGCCGTACCAGAGGAAGCGGAGGGGCTTGGTGCTCTCAACTTGCTCTGGATAAAAGGTGGAGGGAAAGTGGAAGTAGTGGAAGGAGAAGAAGAAGTAGTCGAAGTAGAGGAAGCAGTCGAAGTAGAGGAAGCAGTCGAAGGAAGGGAGGTAGCCGGGCAACCAGCCCACGATGCCTTCCTTGACTTTCAGAACCAAACAAGCGAGGGAGGAGCAATGGGCCTTCCTATCCTGAGATGAGGTAGGCAGGTAGCCAGGGGAGCGGGGCTTGTCATGGAAGAGTTTGCTCGAGAAGAAGATTCAAATAGTGGCAGGCTGTGTCCTTGCCTCGGGTCAGCTGTGACATTCACAGAGGCAAGTGGTTCTGGGTCATTGTGACAACCTGTTGGTCGTTGTAGGCTTGAAAAGGGAGACCACTTACTTCGCACTTCACGTAGCAGGTTGAGCTCATGAGACATAGGCAGACAGCTGTGAACCAAAGTCCCGACGAACAAGAAAACAATAAAGCACCATGCACCTGGCCGAACCCTCTCTCGTCTGGTTAAGCACTATAAACAAAAGGGTAGGTGGGGGAAAAGCAGATGTGCAGCTGTTTATAAAGCTGGCTGATTGGTGATGAAGCAGCACTTTCAAATGTCTTGGATGTCGAGCAGTGAGAGTATCTATATACGGAATACCCTACGTAGGTTTTGATCCAGCATCAGTACTCCCCTCTGCCTCGCCATGCTGGGTCGTCAGGCTTTGCCCGCCTTCTTCGGAATAATCTTCTCTTCTGTCTGCAACTGCATCTGCCGATACTTGGCATCTTGGGCTTCTTCGAGCCAAGCTATTCGCACGGGTGAGACGTGCGCGTTGACAAACTCGAACAATGCTTTTGACATGGGAGCATCCACGCGAATGCCGACAGATGACACTCTGGGAATGCCAAGACAGGTGCTGAGCTTGTCGCCGCAAGGCTTCGAGTATCCCACGAGTCTCGTTGCCGGCGTAGATTGGGAGTTTTTCGAGGCGACAGCGACCATTTGCGGCAGTTGAGAGTTGAAAGCTGATGACTGGCCTGACCGTGCCACGAAGATCAAGGCGTACGGACTGGCGCTGCTGGGGGTGGCATCATTCTCTCTTGCTGGTTGGTCTGAGCCTGACGCAAGCTTCTCGAGGTTGCGGGTGATGCTGGTGAATCCGACATCGACGAATGAGGCGATCTCTGGTGCTGGCGGCCGCTCTGTCTTGGCCGGTGCCTTGGATTCTCCGCCCTCTTCCTTTCTCTTCCTCTTAGCTGCCCGTTTGCCTTCCGATGGCTGCACATGTCTTTGACGGTGTTGGCCAATAGGCGTCAAGAGGCTGTCTGGCATCAGCAAACGCTCTCAATGCGAGGTCAAAGGAGGACCCAGGCTGCTCCCACGACTCACCTGCAGAGAAGTTCCAGAATTGCATCCTGGTCTTCTAGTGAGATTTCAGGCCTTTGTTATTGCATGTTAGTATGGTACGCGCGTAGGTTTGACCCTGGGATCCTACCATTGGATCGTCGAGAATGGTGTATCTACAGAGTACACCAGCTTCTTCCTCTGAGATGTGGCCATTTCACTTCTTGACTTTGTGTTTAGAACTGTCTGCTGCACCGCTTTTGTGGAGACGAAGGGAGGTAGAAAGACTTTGCGGCGGTGGTCAGTAGACGTTTGCTTCGAAATTCCCGCTGCTGCTAGACCGATCTGATACTTTGTTCCGTGCCTGGGAATATGGGGCGTGGCTCAGCAACTGACTGCTAAAGGTGTCTGAGTTTAGCAAATGCTGTCAGTGGCAAAGGGTATGGTGAGGGCCGCCGGCATAGCATTACGCAAGACGGAGTCAGGCGAATAAGAGATAAAAGTAAAAATCAGCCAGGGAAATAAGACGCGAGGCTAAATGGCCTTAGCGGCCGGTACGCCGATAAGCGAGATGCTAGCGTGGGCCTGAGTCGATCAAGTGAGAAACAAGAGATGAACAGAGGAACTCCAATTCTCGACGCCGAAGCAAGTGGCAGAAGCAGGTCATGCCAAGAACCCGACATTCCATCTCCCAGGGTCGGTGTCGATCTTGTGCACGTTTCGGTAGCCGCTGCCAGGACGCGATTTGACGTCAGCTCCGGAAGAAGAGAGGCGCATCGGCCGTTGGAGTAAAGGTGCGGCAAGGACAAGGGCAGCTCTCTACGGGCCCCGCATGAGCTCTTTCGGAGGGTGGCACAGACGACAGCGGGAGGAATGGAACCAGCCCGGTCGAGCCAGGGGCACCGAGAGGCCGAGTGCTACGTTGGAGTTCCAAGGTAGGTAGGTGACCTGAGTAATTGACGGCGGGCCGCTTGGTGGGCACCATCACGGCTTCGACATGACATGTGTGTAAGTTCAGCCCAACTCTCCTCTCAGGAGATGATGGTTTGCGGACCACGGCGAAGGGCGCCAAACGGTCCGGGTGGCCAAGAACGAGACGAAAGCAAAAGAACCGTTGTGGCATTAGATGTCTTCTTTTTTGCTCGCGAGGATCGAGAGGCAGCAATCCGCGGTCACCGCGGTTGATGTGTTGATGTGCTGCTGGCATCAGTCTGACTAGTAGGAGATTCAAGATGACTTCGCTTCCTGAGTCAAAATTCAATGACTGGTAACAGAAGAGTAACGAGACCGCACATTGGTCTACCCACGCCGAATATTGATTGCGGGCAGCGTTGATCGACTTGCGCGAATGACCTTGTGAGCCAGCCGAGATGCCCAAGCGCTTTCCCAAGCTGCCACTTCCGTACCTGACTGGGCGTTCTCCGAACCTTTCGGATTGTTGCCTGGCAAGAGGTGTTCGGCTTGCCTCACACAGCGATTGGCTCGTTGGTGTCTGCGCGTACGAAGCGGACCACCGCCATTTCGATTTGACTGGCCAGCTTTTGCTGCTCACAAGACAATTTTGCACCCCAATCGATGGGGGGAAAAAAACAGGGCATCTGATAGAGGAAAAGACGACCGAGGGGTATTTCTTGTTGCCTTCAGGTATGGCTGATAATAGCAGATGGAAGGCAATGTTGACTTTTGGGCAACCTTGTAGAGTCAGCCAGTCTGATACGATGGTACGTACCCGTAGCCTCTGAGGAAGTTGACCAACCACGAGCGCTCCAACAGTCGCCTTCTGCAAGCCACCTCCAGCTGCCTGGCCATTGACTAGAAGGGTGGGAAGCGAGACAATCATATCGTTCGTCATTTGTCCTCTTCCCCGTGCTGTCCAAGCAGGCATAGATATCCGGCTTCGACTTGCCAAAGAAGGGGACAGGCTCTTGTCCTACCACCATTGCGCACTCAGCCCTCACAAAGCCAAAGAAACAACGGCCGGCGGTTCTTTGTGCTGTTTTTGCATCATCTCGTCCTGGTACACCGACGATTGATTTCGAAAAGTAGATGGCAGCAGGCATTACACACACCCAACAAGCTGGCATCCCATTGCCGTCCACACAGTAAGACCACCCACGTTGACGAGAGATTGAAAGATGTGTTCGTTGAGAACTAATCAAAAACGGTAGCAGACCAGCCCTCGTCTGAAGACCACAGCTATTCGACCCTCTTCCTTGCCTCGCCTGTACCGGCACTTGGTTCCCTGCAGGTACCTCACTGCCTTCGGCCCAGCCAGTTCCACCTCAGTCAACAGCAGCTCCCCACCCAAGACCATCCGGACCGTGCTCCTTGCTCCTTGCCTGCCTGTCTACCTAGCCACGCTTGACTAAGGTACACCGTCACCCCGCACCGCCCACCGCCAAAGCCTTCTGGCGTCAACGACGCGCCAAAGAAGCTGTGCGGACGAGCTTGACGTTGCAAAGATAGGTAGGTACCTGCATCCTCATTTTCATTTGCCCATCTGCCTCTTTGCCTCAAAAGTTCCAAATTGTTTGCCCGTCTGCCTTGCCAGAGAAACAGCAGAGCAGGAGCACATGCTCACGGATACGGCTTTAGACTTATTTGCTCTTCTTTTCGTCTGCCCCCCTAGACCTCCTTCCCCGCCAGCTCCGTCTCCAGCTACCATTTCTGCTACGCGCTGATAAGCAAAGGTAAGGCGAAGCTCTTAGATCCCCTACGGCGCCTACCTACCTTCACCATCCGCCACCACCCATCATCATCATCCTCCGTCGTATTAACCTGAACTGCCCGTGGTGCCTAAGGTAGCTTAAGCTACAGAGCAAGGTACTTGCTTCAACCCAAGGTAGGTTTTGCCGCCTACCCACCCGGCCTTGCCTTGCCTGCTCCCATCTCGCCTCACCACCATATCTTCCCGCCGGTCCCTTACCTCATCTTTTCCCCCATCGGTGTCTCCAAAACGCAAGTGCTTCCACGTTCTCCCCCTCCCCCTCCAAAGCACAGCTCCCAGCTCTAGTGGATTCATTCATGCCCGCACTGCGTCTGAAGCACCCGAAAAAGGACGACGTGCAACCCCTGCACATTCCCCCCAAAAAGCCCACCTCCAACACAACTCGCTTGGTTCGTTGGATCTCAGCCTGCACTTCGGTATCGTCACCTCGACATCCTAGCGTTTGGCCCCAATCATTTTTTCTGGCACTTTTCGCTTTCTGAGCCACCAAGCTCTGCGCAGTCTCGTCATTTACTCAACCCCTCTCCTATTCTTTTCCATTCCCCCAATCATCGTCCCGAATACACTGCGCGACACGTCCTCCTATCCAGCTACAACCAGCAGCTCTCGAAAAAAACCCACATGCTAATTCTAGACAGCTGCTGCCGAGTCGTCTCTCGCGCCCGAGTGACGTCTCTGGAGCTCCAGGACCCGCGCTGCGACTCCTCATTGCACCAGCCAGATGGACCAGCCTACAGGATCTTCGGAAGCACCAGAACGCGCGGTCTCCTCTGAGCCCAGCTCAACGAGACCCAACCCTTTCACAGAGGACGACGACGCCTCAAGGAAGCGACGCCGTACCTCCTTGTCTGGGGGCTCCCGAAGCCGATCCGCCGAAAGCCCTAGATCCGGCCCTGATACCTCCAGCTCCCCAGCTGCAGACCTCCTCGCCGACGATCATAATACTCAAGACTCCGCCATGAGGATAGATACCGGCCCCTCTACCCCGCAAACCCCAGAGATGCAGTCGACTGCCCGGCAGCCCCCGACAGAACCTCCTTCGAGCCGTGTCACGATAAACCTGCGCAATCCCGCCCAGCCCGACCTGTCCTCGTCGTCTCCCGTCTCCCCGACCCGTCAGTCCTTGCCAACCCAGTCGGCCGAACCCCCGGATGGCGTCAAAAAAAGCGTTGAAGACTTGGAAGAGGAGGAGGTGGACATGGTTCAGGCTCCCATAGAAATCACGGATACCCCGCCGTCAACCTCATCGAGTATGAGCCCCGAAGTTGAGGTGATTGCCATCCCGGACGAAGAACAGGATGCCCCATTCGACGATGAGGTTAGCATCATCAGAGAGGATGCTGGCTCTCTCGACCCTCTCGACCCCACCACAGATTTCCCATACCACGAAGCCCTCGAATCTTTGCAGGACACGGCGACGAGACTGGTTAACTACCTCTCTCCACCGAGTAAGACAACCTCGACTATTAGTAGCGAATACCTCTTCTGACTAGACACAGATGCCCCCCCAGACGAAGCCGTTCTCGATTCTCTGCGAATATGGATGATTTCTTACATACAATATGTCACCAACGTTGGCGTGAACGCTGCGTACGAATCCCACCTGGCCTATCACAGCTTTTGGCATACGTTTCCAGAGATTGCGTGGGTGCTTTCGACTAAGAAGTCGGTCCCTATCTTTTCCTCCAAGACAACTTCTAAGCTGACCATTTCATAGGCTTTCAGCTTCGCGGGACAGTGGACCTATTATCGCGGATTTCTTCAGCGCGTTCTCCAAACTCGCGTCTTTTTTTATCGAATTCGATTATCTGACTGCTGAGGCTTTCCACACCAACCCTGATGCTGATGGACGGCAGCCAGAGTACTTGATTGGCCGCTTTGTGCAGCCACTTTTGACGTATGTGAGAAGGGAAGAGGTGCGGGCTCACAACGCAATGCAAGCAGATGAGGAGATGCATTGGACGGCTGGAGGCAGCGTCACAGAGATGCTGGATCTGTTCCTGTCAGGGTCCGGGGACCTCAAACTATTGAACACTCTCACTCAGATGCATCTAGCCAATGCTCTGAGATACCAGCACATTATGGACATGCTAGTGCCGATTACCAACATCACAGCACTTATAGTGCGAAAGGCAGCACAGGTTATCCGTCACCCGCAGGTCACACCCCAGAAGTTCGAAATGTCAAAAACCAGACTCGCCGACGGCCATATCCTGTGCAACATGGTTTCAGGAGCTCTCACCACTGTCATCGATAAGAACGTCACCCAACTCTCGAATGAAAACGCGCAGACACTCATTTCGGCTTTGCACGAGATCCTCAAACTATCGTTGGGTGGAGACCACAACTTGGCAACTGAGCGTCTCAAACTGCACCGACAAAGCTATCCCGAACTCCCTGCAAAGTTTACTGCCGATGCAATTGCGATGGAATGGAAGCTTGGCGTCCTCGGGAAGCTCATCACGTCCAGCCAGATGCAATTGCGTGTCATGGCAGCCTCCACAATGTGCCAAGATCTCGTTTCTCTGTACAAGAAGAACAACGACAGTGAGGATGACAGCAAAGACTACAAGGAGGAATGCTCTAAGTTCCTCAAATACATCGCAGAGTACCTTCTTCGTACCAAGTTGGTGGACTACATATTGGGACCAACATGCCATCCTGAGATTACCGTGGAGAGCGGCAACATTGTTGGCTTTTTGGTAGTTACGCACTTCTACCGGAAGGAGCAAACCGATTTACTCTGGCAAACGATTACAACGACGCAAGACCCGCGAGTGTCGGAAGCTCTGATCCGCATGGCGACACCCCTTACGACCCTTTTTACCAAGGAGGAACTTCTCTATTTATGCGAAAAGGTGCACAACATGCCACTCGAGGCCTTCACGACATCTGTGCGCGGTCTCTGCACTTCCATGCTAAAAGATCTTCACCTGAAATTCAATCTCGCAAAAGAAACGCCGAACATCTTGCCGTTGAGCTTCTGCATTCGACTTCTCCGCGAGGCGTCAGTCTACAGCCCAGAGTCACACATCACGAACCCTGAAGTGCACCAATTCGCCATCGATAAGTTCAAGGACTTGGTTAAAGACGGACTTGACCCCGAACTAAGAAAAGAGATTTATAATGATTGCATCAGGGACATTGCCGCAAAATCATCCACAACGCTAGGTACCCTGTGGTGTCTGGGTATGGCGCTGCGACCAGCTGTCGCGCACGAGTTACGTGTTCTCACGGCGGAACACAACTTGACGGCCCTTCTCGTTGATGAGCTCGAGCACGCCATCGAGCAGGCAAAACGGGCCGGAATTCCGATTGTGCTTTGCGAACATTTCAACAGTCCCCGCAGGGAACTGATTAGCTGGATTCTCACCCACGAGCCCACCACGGTCACTTCCGACCTTGGCCCACGCCTATGGGATATGTTGGTCGGTCACGGCGCTGCATGTCAAGATGACAGGGGCGCGGGCTGGGCAATCCTCAATAATCTCCCCAAAGAGGGCAAAAGCAATCCATTTCGATTAGTGTGCTTCACTGAGTACCTACCCAACCTCCCACGGGACTGCCTATGCGAAGGAACGCTACAATTCGTCAAGGAAGCCATCGTCTCGCGAGTAAATGATATCAATGACATCATCCTTGACGACGACGAAAGCCTCGCTCAGAGTGGAATAGAGCAGCTCTGGCGAATGGTACTCGACGCAGAGAACTTGGCGCTTGTGGACGCTGCAATTCAGACACTTGTGGTCGATGTCTACATTGAAAGCGAGTCAATTTTGGCATACCCGCACCATAGAGCACGCCAAGTTCACCTGGGTTTGGTGAATCGCTGCCTGAAACAGATGGAGGCCGCCGCGAAGCGACTCGAATCTTTCAATGAGGGAACCCGGAGCGGAGATGACGAGCCAATGGTGATTGTGGCGACAGAAGAGCAAACCAGAGAACAAGAGCGTGTCTTCATACGATCGCTTGCAGTACTTCGACACTTTCTTAGGGCGCACCAGACGAAGGCTCATTTTTCCGCGCCTGACTTGCGAGCGTTGACCCCTGGCTCCCCGAGTGTTACGGAGGGAGAGTCAGCCGAGCTTAAGTTTCAATCTTTTGATGGAAATAAGCAGACCGACATTATGCCTCTTGAGGTCGGACGCCGGAACACGGCAGCTTCTTTGCTGGCAAGCATCAGGCAGGCCACTGGGTTCGACAACTACCGGATCTACTACCGTGGCCGTCCGTTTGCACCCAACGAAAACGATGTTTGCCGGTCTTTGGAGGAGCTCAAGATCCATGATGGCCTGATTCTGGTCAAGAGAGAGGAGAACGGTACCACTGCCGCTGCTAGGATCAAACCAGGGGCATCTCTTCTTGAGATCGAGATACTGGGACATTTTGGGCAACTGTGGAATTATTTGAGCATGCAAGAAACTCTTGCCAGAGAGGTAGGCTTTCCGGCCCGGGATCTGAAGCTGCAAACTAACGTCTTTCCAGATCCACAACTTCCTCGTCAAACTACCCGCAGATGCACACATGATAGCCGCTTTTGATTCTCCCGACACGTCATACGAGCAGATCTTCCCACTCGGACAACCGTTCAAATCGCAATATGCGTTGTACGCGATGCGAGAGTATATGGATTCTGCTGTCCGTCGATTGAAAGAAGCCGTTGCCACCTCTGCCCCGGAGCAAAAGAGTGCAATCACTGATGCGTACCTTGACGCTCTAGTAAGAGTGCGGAAGCTTGTTGTCGCAGCCATTTCGGACCCGGATGTCATTGACAGCTCAGGGTCGGAGGTGCTGAAGAATCGTCTTGCGTTCACCTTGATGAATACCTATTTGCTGACATTAAGAGGTATGTACTTTTCCAACAGCCCTTAAATGAATAACACATCTAACTCTTTTGTAGAGCCTGCGCCATCAGGATCCTCACTCAAATATAAGTCAGTTGCCATAGCACCTCCTGGCCGACTCGTCGATGTTCTGAGCTCCGCAATCAACGGACGGCACAACGAAACTTTTGTTTCCCTCACGGCGGCCACTTTTTCGGCCATCATCCGAAGTATTGCTATGGACTTTGCTTTCTGGACTGCTTTCGAGACTCTGCCGAATCTTGAGGACCTGCTAGGGACCCTGCTTCTGGACGAACCATGCGACACCATTCGCGTTAACATTGCTAAGATCATAGAGGATAGGATCATCTCTCCCAGCGAGTAAGTGATCTTGAGCTCCATACTTTGTCCAGTACTGACGTGAACAGGTCGACACCAAGCACGCGCTCCTTCTGCGAGCGTCTTTGGCCAATGCTTAACAGACTCATCGACAGAGCGGTCGAGAAGCCGAGACAATGCTTGCAAGTCTTCAAGCTGTCTCATATTCTTCTCATCAAGCTCTGCCGTGACAACCCTGGTGTCGTGAATGTGCCTGAATTGGCAAGACAATGTGGCGATCTTTTACTTTCACATGATTCAGCTGAGGTCAGTCGATGCCATGCTTTGGTGTGTTACCAACTGACGAAAAAAGCATATCGAACAATTCGGTCCCGAGGACACCGTAGCACGGGGCCTGGCTAATCTGCTTTGGTACTGCCTAACAAGCGTGATGGACCTGAACGTGGAACAGGAACTTCCAGAGTTAGTGAAAAGAACGTCTAACTCATTACATTCCACTGACCCTCAATGCAGCAAACTTGGTAGGAAACTCTTCTGGAAACATCTGTTTCCGCCCCCACAGAGGGACGGCAGTCGCGGACGATCTTGCATCCTGTCGACTGCCACCAGATTGGTCCTGGGAGACATCGTCTTCTATTTGGTGTCCAGATCAGAGCAACGCCTACACGAGATGCTGATCGATTTGGAGAGCTTGGTTCCTTTTGACGAGTTCGAGAACGGTTGGTGTACCTTACTCACCGATATGCGATATACCCGCTTACATTCTCAAGATCCTTATATCTACGAGCTGCAACCACAATTCGACCGCATGTCTGCCATCAGAGCTCCTTGTGGATACGCTGGACTTCGGAACCTGTCCAATACATGCTACCTCAACTCACTCTTCACTCAACTCTTCATGAATACCGGCTTTCGTAAATTCATGGTTGATGCCGTCACAGATGAGCTACAACCGCAGAATCTAGTGGCCGAAACCCAGAAGCTGTTTGCGTTTATGCAAGAGAGCGCACGAAAGTTCATCGATCCCAGCTTGCTTGTGGGATGCATTAAGACGTACGATGACACGCCTATTGATGTCCACAACCAGATGGACGTCGACGAGTTCTACAATCTTCTTTTTGATCGATGGGAAGGACAGCTCAACACTGTTGAAGAAAAGCAGGCGTTGAGATCCTTCTATGGTGGTCAGCTGGTGCAGCAGGTTGCGTCCAAAGAATGCGATCACATCTCGGAGCGTCTGGAACCGTTTTCGGCTATTCAGTGCGATATCAAGGGTAAATTGAATCTGCAAGACAGTCTCCAAGCATACGTCGACGGTGAAATCATGCAAGGAGGTAAGGGCTGCCCACTCTTCTTCATCAACATCGGCTGATCAATTCCAGACAACAAGTACAAGTGCTCGAGCTGCGACCGGCATGTCGATGCCGTCAAAAGGTTTGATTTCGTGTTTCGCCAGTGTCGTGATATACAGCTGACCGTTTGTTCAGGGCGTGCCTGAAGGATATTCCCGATAATTTGATCTTCCATCTCAAAAGATTTGATTTCAATCTGCGTACATTGATGCGCAGCAAGATCAATGATTACTTCTCGTTCCCCACCAAAATCGACATGCGGCCGTACACGATTGATCACCTCGGATCTCCCTCTGACTCGGGCGAAGAGGACATGTTTGAGCTGGTTGGCGTTCTGGTCCACGCAGGTACTGCGGAATCGGGTCACTACTACTCATACATCAGAGAACGGCCAACTGGCGCCTCGTCAGAAGCCTGGTTTGAGTTCAATGATGACGTTGTCTCGCCTTGGAATCCAGCCGATTTGGAAAAGTCAACCTTCGGTGGCCCAGAGGTGCCCTTTGACAACGGAGTTTCCTATGACAAGACGTACAGTGCTTACATGCTGTTCTATCAACGATCGTCTGTCCTGAAAGCAGAACAGGAAAAGGCACAGAGTCTGTCCCTTCCTATGCCACTGAAGGTCACTCTCCCCAAGGACGTTGCCGATCATATCGCGGGGGAGAACACCATCTTGCTCCGAAGGCATTGCCTTTATGATCCGAGTCACTCACAGTTGGTTCTCAAGACATACGACCATGCGCGAATGCGGGATGGGGGCTTGTGCTCTCCCATGCACCTCGTTGAGCAGCGAGCCATGCATATGCTGCTGGGTCATCTCGACCAAGTTGCATCGAGAACCAAGGATCTTCCCTACTTCGAAGCATTCCGACGACAGATCGAACGCGCCTGCGTGAATTGCGTCAAATGTTCGTTGGATTTCATCGAGTATTTCCAAGAAAGACCCGAGTCATTCCGACAACTCCTTCAAAGAAACCCGGACCCCGGCGTCCGGTTCGCGGTTGGCAGCCTGTTCATCACGAGCCTTCGGACGATAAAGGCCTCGCAACCCGAGGCTTACTACGTTTCCGAGGAAGATATGGTTGAGGAGCCTGTCATAGCCCAAGTTATGCAGCTGTTTGACACCCTCTGGATCAACTTCCAAACGAATATTCGTTCCTGGTCTGAGGTTTTCCAAACGATCCTCGCATTCGCCAAACTTGGTCCGGCAGAGACGGCATTACTCTTGTCGGAAGACTGGTTCATGAAAATTCTGCGCATCATCATTGCGGACGCAAACTTGGAGATGCCACAGCAGTACATGCGAATGCTGACGAACGTTATGCGTCGCATGAGCAACACCCGCGCGATTCAGTACGACATGATCATTCAACTCGCCGAGCATTTTATCGGTTCTTTGGAAGGCATTCTTGATCCCAGCACTATCGTGGACGGTCCCGAGGTACGGTGGGAGCTCTACATGGAACACCAGAAGAAGGTTGGCTCACCGCAAAGGTTTCCTTGGACGTCGAGCGAAGTAACCCACCTTCTACATGAGCTGGGCAAGGGTAGCGGAAGCATCTTCGTCAAGAAGTTGATTGAGCTAAACCAAGAACATCTGTTCACGGCAGCCATCATCAGGCGGTTGATGAATTCTGGCCCCGAAATGGAGTCGAAGGTCTTCTCTGCTATCAGAACCATGATCAGCGGACAACTGGTGCAATATGCGGTGACCCCTTTCATCCAAGCGGCCATGGTATTCTCTGAGCAAAGCAGATCCGATAACTACGTACTGTCGCTCTTCCGCCACGTTGCCGCCGAATGCAGAAGCTTGCAAAACTCGGAAGGTGCCGCGTTCTTGGGCTTCTTCAAGATGGCCTACAGCAGCCTTCAAAACAGCAGCGACGAAAACGACGAGTCCCGGCACATGGTTTACATTGATTTCATCCCCATGTGGGCGCCCAGCCTGCTAGGCTTCTTCGAGCCTGAGGTGCGACGTGAGACAGAGTACTTCCTGTCGGCATGGCTTTCGACTCACGTGCCGGATGACAAGGAAGACAAGTTCTCGGCCCTTGTCAACATGGCAGCTCGGAAACTTGCCATGAACTGCCTGTATCTCCTCAGAGAGAATTTCTTGAAGAGACGGGCGCCGATAGTAAAGCAGCACACTGAGAGCTTGCAAGGCATCATCGTCGCCTGCGAGCCGTACTTCCAGGTCGATGTGGCGGCGGATGCGGACCAGCGCATCATCACCCTGACTGAGTTCCAGGAGGCTTTCCGCTGTAAGTGACGTATGCCCCGTAAACAGCTTGGTTAAGAAACTGACTTCTGGGGTAGCAATTATCGAGCCTCTTCGACGCATGGCAGTGGAGGAAATGGACGACGAGGGCTCCGGTATGTCCACAAGCCTCTACAGTGACTCTGACACCATCTCCTCGGAACCACGAGGGCTGACTTGACGGCTCAGACTGGGAAAACTCGATAGCGTCCTCGGAACAGTTGGAAAGCCTGGCAGACGTGACCATGCAAACGGCCGGAGACTTGCCAGACGCGGATCTTCAGTAACGCATGCATTACAGCACCCATGATGACATGAATGACTACGGAATACTTTGAACTTTTTCGATTGTGCAATGTGGGAAACAGTCCCACCACGCAAGGCGTCAAGGAGATGGGGAGTCCCAAATGGGACGGATATCGGACTTAGCGATATGAAATGCGTACAGGTGGGAGGAGATTTCTTGCATTCGGTGGCGTGCCGGCGTTCAGGACCCAGAAAAGGGTGAGGTGATTTCAACATCTAACGGGGGCGATGGCGACGGCTAGAAGAGTAGTCTGGATTCCTTTGACGCGGTCGGCTGAAGATGAGTCGCCGCAAACAGTGAGTGGGCTGCCCTCTTTTGGAGGCCACTGCGATTGAGAGTGCGTAAACGGTATGGAATAGATAGAATATCCATGTTGTCAACCGCCAGGGCCGGCAACAGCCTCACAATAGGTCCAGCAAGAGAGTTGCCCGCGTGCAAATTAGCAAACTATTTTAGGCACGCCTGTGAATGAAAAGTGCAAGCATCGCTGTGATATGGCCGCGGCTTGTTGTCCGGGAAGCGGTCTGGCTGTAGGGACGTTGTGGACCAACGAAGATGCGAGAACGACGTAAGATTTCCAATATTAGACGTACATCGGTGAAGGCCGGTTGAACAGATGGTGACGGGAGGAGATTGGGGACTGAATCACGGTTGTACTGGCGAGTGTTTAACCGCCGAACGGTGGGTTAAAGTGGTGACTTGGATCCCGGATGATGGAGTGCATTTACGGGCGGGGACAACTCGATTGGCTCGCGGGGTTTGCGGGACAATATGTGAAGTTAGAGAGGCGGGCGGGTCTGGGTCTGGCAGCTTACACATCAAGCATTGCACGTGGGATTTCGGTATTGTTTCTAAAACAGATTTTCCAGTCACCGTAGATCATTTTGTAGATCCCGAGATGGGTCATGCGATTGGTCAATGGCAGCGGGAGTGCTAGCGGTGAAGATAGGTTCATGAAATGGACCGTCTCCTTGGTTGACCACGGGCGCGGCGGGATCTTGTGAGACGGGGTGGTCATCTTGAGACCGCTCTACCTTACCGTCGTCGTCGTCGCCGTCATCGTCGCTACTGTCGTCTTCGGTAGGAGTAATTAGGTACACAGGAATAGCTGCGCAGACAGAGGAAATTAGGCGCTGTCGTCATTTTAGATCACGATATGCAGGTTCACGCGGATGGACGGGGGCGACGGCTGCATCGGCTTCTTGCAGGTGGTGGAGGTCGGAGGGGGAGAGGGGGGATGGATGGACTCGGTGCATTTCCGAAGCCGCGGCCGGCCGAGTGGAGGGCGAGAGGGGGAAGAGCGAGGCCGAAGGTGGTGGTGAATGAGATCAAGTGCCGGTGGCTAAATTATGCGATACCGATGGTTATTCGTAGTTTGCCATCTTTGGCCGATGTCCATGTTTCCACGGGAGGGGGAGGGGGAGGGTATTGCAGTGTACTGGCGGGCTCGGCGGAGGTCGCATTGTGTGAGTCGTGCAAATCCAACGTAATGTCTACGGGTTCATTGTTCTTGTGATGTGGTTTTGGGTGAAAACTGGCTACTTACTTACCGTACCTCCCTTCATCCGCGCAGAGAATCGCGGGGTTTTGCTTGGCGGGGTGTTTGGCTGGGCGAAACAGAGTTGGGGGATCATTCGAGAGGGGGCGGTTCGTGGTGGTGGTCGTTTTGTTTGGACCGACACACGATGTTTGGAAGATCCGGAAGTTGACGAAGGTGACAGCGGGTTTGATGTTCTTCTTTGTCCATGCATACGCAAAGGTAAAAAGGAGAAGGGTGCGAAACGGGCTTGACAGCTCACGCGGCATGATCGGGAGGCAATGCAGGAGCGATTGGGGGAAAACAAGTTGGTTTTTCTTGACGTGTTTGACGGTTTCGTGTGGGAGCCTTCAGGCGATGCGGCGTGGGTGTGGTGCGAGGCTCAGCTCATGTGTTCATGTGTTGGTGACGTGCTTGTTGGTTTCAGAAGATTGGGCGGGTGTGGTGGAGTTAGTCAGTTGGTGTGTGTGTGAGTGTGTCCGTTGCCTTGGGACCTTGGAAAACATGGTGAGGGGGGTATCGGATGAAAAGAACATCGGGCGGAATGGTCGAGATCTTTTCTGATGGAGTGATGCTCGTTTTGGATTTGTTCTTGGCGGTGGTGGGAGGGTATTGGTGTATTCTCTTTTTCACGAGGACGAGGGACGAGGATGAGGAGATCGCGATGGTGGCAAAGAGAAGCCAAGGTGAGGAGTCGTGGCTGTTCTTACACCTTGGTAAAAGTTTGTTCAGTTACTAAGCGGGGGGGGGCATCCTCTCTCTTTTCTCTTTGCCTGGTGGTGTTCAACGTGATGCTAGTCTCGAACAAACGAAGCCGTCGCCAAGTCTTGGCCGGTTTCCATCGTCTTTTCTCCCCATCTTCCTTGTTTTGGGACGACGGCGATCCATCGGCTCTCTCTGACCCCACGATGGACCGATCGACTCTGCGACGCTGTGGAAAGAGCAATTTATCTCGAGGGCATCTCGAGACGAGGCATGCCAAGCGAAGTCAAGACGTCTGACGGGTCGGTAGAGTTTTCCTGGGGTAAATTGCGGTACACTAGATTGTACGCTTGTTTTTGGTATTTTTCCGTCCGCGACGGCGTAAACTCAAGTAAATTGTGATTTCTGGGTCCCCCAGACGTATGAGATTGATGTCGCCTCTCTCTACCTGCTGGGCTGGGGCTGAAGTTGAGGCTGGTGTTTGAGGCATTGAGGCACTGAGGCGTCGGCGGTCTTTGAAGCTTTGCTCTGCCTTGTTTTGTCGTGGCCATGAAATCTCGCCTCCAGGTATTCTTGGTTCTTGTCCTCAGCGCCCCCAGGAATTAGCAGCTTCTGTATCGATGGGTGGGTAGGCGTTCGCCGTTCGCTGCGTCCGTCCATCCTGCCATCCCTTCCTCGCCGCGGCCGTGAGTTATCGCGCGGGCCAACCGATGGCCCCCCCGAGCCATGTGCCGTTTTTGGGGGGCCTGTCGGTAGAGGCGGCGACGACTGACAGTGGTTACTGGTGAGGAACACTGAAAGGGAAAAGCAATCTATTTTTGCGACACTGGCGAGAACGGCGGGCCCGGTCATGCACAAATCCCTGTCCGGCACGCACACGTCGATCTGTACGTAGATCCCCACCCGACTCTGGCCACGAATCAGACGAAAAACAGGCCCACGGCTTTCCCAGCTGTGAGGGACACCAGTGACCACAGGCGCGGGGTCGCGGCGCTGAAAATAGCAGCGTAGCCGCCGAAGGGTACGGAAAGCTGCGCAGCTACTGCAGCGTAGGCAGCTTTGGGAAAATCTACGATTGGACGGCCTGGGTTTCTGGGTAAGCTGCAGAGGCTAGAGCCGTTGATGAGATGCGGAGATTGGATTGGATTTTGCGGTCAGAAGGGGGAGACGATGAGAGAGTCCCATTTTCGACTTCATTTTTAGATATGCAATGTGATGAAGTGCAGTAGTCTCTGGTGGTTTGCTTCTCGATTTAGGAGGTAGCCCGCTCGCGATGCGCGGTTCACTCGCCCATAGCGGCTGCTTCTGCTCCAGCTGGGTACCTTGCCTTGGACGACATTATCGTTGTCCATGTCTGCTATGATCGAACAAGAACTGGGTCAGGGGCGCTGGGAAGACCGTAGGACGACGTTCGCTGTGGCATCGTTTGATGACAGGCTGAGATAGATGACAGGCGGGGACCCCTAGCGACTTCACGCACCACGCCCCCCTGAGTAAATCGGCTCCCCTTTCCATCCCCAATCCCACCCTCCCACTTTCCTTGGCCCTCTGCGACTGCACCGCACGCCGCCTCGTCACCGGTTGCCCCCTCTCTGCCCTTCTGTCTCCCAATGGAAGCGCCGCGAAGACACACAGAGGAGGCAAACGGAAAGGAGAACACGAGGAACATCCCCTTCCCCGTACGTGGCTCTCAAAGAACATTGGAAGATCATGAAACAGACACCATCTCTTTTTTTGGGACAGGTTCGCACTCACCAACACGGATGACAGCAGTAGCAGCAACAGCAATAGCACACGCCCCTCGTCATCATCATCACCATCCTCATCATCTAGAAGAGACGGGTTTCATCTTTTTTGGCGCCCAGCCTCACCAGCACCTCGCGCAAAGACCACGGCCTGTCAGATACGCCACGCCACGCCGCGCCGCCGCGCCGTGAACCTTTTTTTATCCCACTTTTACTTGCTGCCCTTGGTATCCTGCTCCCAAGGACCCCTATCCCGGCAGTGATAATCGTAAACCTAGCGTGGTGGGTCGACGTCCGAAGTCACCCTGCGTCGTCGTAGTGGTAGTCGTCGTCTTCGCCATCTCGCGTGAGCTCCCCCTCTCCAAAACTCCAAGGTACCTTACCTCGGCCAGGCCTTTCTCGAAAGGGATAGATGGGGTCCCTCTCTACCCATTACCTATAAGGCTGTTTGAGTCGCATCGCGAGCACAAAGAAGCACATATACTCGGATGACCAGGGGGTGTCCTGCATACGAAGGCTCTTGTTTCAGATTTTCTCTTTGAGCTAGCAGCTAGCTAGGCAAAGCCGGAGGAGCTACGACTGGATATATCTTCACCTGCCCTCCCATCCCACCTCACCTCTGTTGTTTGTTGAGATCCAAGACGAAGATCACACACAAAGGGCGTCGACGCCGACAAAACATTTTCTTTCAGCACACTCCTTCAAAGCTCAGGCCTGGCGCCCCAGAGTCCGTTACCAATCTTGTAATACCATTGGACCGATATTCTTCAAAGCTTTCTCAACTACTTCTCTTCTCGTTTACGAGACCCTTTTCGAGAACCCTCAGTCAACATGGCTCTCAAGGGTCGCATTTCGTCTCCTCTGGAGGCCGGCACCTCCATCCTCGACGTCCAGAACCTGCCGCCCCATCTTAATGAAGCCCTCGAGTACGCTTCCAAGAGGCTCGCCAGGAAGGCTCTTCACGTCACCCTCGTCGTCGCCAGACGCGAGTACCAGCTCCCTACTCTCCTGCCTTCGTCCTCTGGCCTCACCACGCCCACAATGTCGCCACCGAGCTCCCCGCCGCTGCCTTCCACGCGCTTTGGCGGCTTCGGCTCGCCCGTCTCCTCCTTCAAAAAGCTCGTCAGGACGAACACCGGGTCCAGCATCTCGTCTGTGTCCACCGTCTCCTCCGCCGGCAGTGAAGCCAAGTCCCCCGAGACCTTCACCTTCACGCCCTCCTTCCTCATGGACACCAACGGTCCGAGGTTGAGGTGGCCCCTGTCCCCCGGCATCCCGCTTTCGCCCCCTCCCATGACGCCCTCTGTCGCCTCCTCCACCATCACCGACGCCTCCGGGCCCATGTCGCCTAACCCCTTCGGCATCCGCCTTATCCACGCTGACCTGCTCACCGACAAGCAAGAGCGCACCCTCCGCCAGACCATCGAGCGCGCGGAGAGCAAGTTTCGCATCGGGTACGTCACTCTGGTCACCTCCCACCCAAACATCTCACTAACACTTGCACAGCTCCGAATGGCTCCCTCCAGTCGTCGACGGCTCCGCCTGCGGCATGACATCCAGCCTCATCCGCCGCTCCATCGTCCAAAACGAAGTCCTCTTCGCCTCTGAGGGCCTCACCCTCGTCTCCCTCGACCGCCTCTACACCTTCAAGGCCGCCCTCTCCAGCTACTCCCGCACCAAGGCCCCGCTCAGGCTGGAAGACGCCGTCGACGAGCTGCGCCGCCTCATCCTCTCCCGCGCCGGCAGGAAGGTCTCCAAGTCCGACCTCCTCCGCTCCTACGACTTCCTCAGCGTCAGCGACGCCGCCCTCGCCGACGTCGACAAGATGTACCGCAGGGCGTACGGCGGCCCTGACCGCGTCGGCGCCATCGAGGGCGTCGGCTCCAAGGCGCACGTCGAGGAGACCATGAGGGAGCTCGAGAGGGATGTCGAGGAGACCATGGCCGCGGCCATGGCCACCATCAAGATTGGCAAGCCGCCTTCGCCCAAGGGCCCCGCGCTCAAGCTGCAGACCAACTTCGACACTAAGCCGTCGCCGCCCATCGTCGAGGCGGACGAGGTTTCCGAGGAGGAGGAGTTGACGGCGCGGCCGGAGCGTCAGCCCAACGTGTCCGTCTGGAGCCCCGTGTCCATCGCAGAGGTCCTGCACGAGGACCGCTTCGTCGATGACAGGCAGCGGCTGGGCCCGATGACGCCCAACGGGTACGACGACATCTCACCCATCACCAGAGGCGAGTGGGGCTTCCTCATGGGCCCCGGCGGTGTTGGCAACGGCCGAACTGCGCCTGTCGTTACCTGCTGAGAGCGATATCGCATGTTTCTTTTTAGATGTTCAAAACGGGTTCGGTACCTACTTTTTTCTTCCTGTATGATAGCTTTTTTTCCTTTTCTTTTCTGGGTCATGAAGTCACGAGAACAAAGTTCGGATACCACGGTCGCGATGGAGAGCATCGTTTGTTGTACACTAGCTGCATCGTTTGTCAAACAAAAAGGACGAAGAGAATGTTCTGTATCAACTTGTTGGGTATCATTAAATCTCGTGCTGCCGTGACGAACTTCTCTACCAACCGTAGCGGCTCGACGCCTCCTTCCTGTTGCTCTTCCCCTTGGCGAAGCTCTCCTCGAGGGCCTCGCGCTGGGTCTGCACCTGGTTGACGAGCTGGCGCAGGCTGTGCTTGCCCGGCGCGATGGAGCGCACGGGGTTGTGGATCTGCTGCTGGCCGGCGGCGCGGAGCTCCTCGTTGTGCTTGTACTCCTCGTCCGTGTTAAAGTTGATGACCCTGGACGCCGTCTGCTGGTTTGCGCCCCCCTTTTGCCGGCCGAAGAGCTCGCGACGTGCAGCGGCGGAGAGGTTCAGGTCGTCGGCAATGTTGTCGAGCGAGTTTGAGTTTGTGGGGGCCGTTGAGGGGAGCGGGTAGTTCATTTGCGAAGCGTAGTCTGCGTAGCCGTTTGACTCGTCTTGTTGGGTTTCGAAAAGGGGCTCGTAGGCGCCGCCGCCGCTGAATGCTGGTGTGGGGTCCGTTGGTGTCTCTTCTGGTTCTATCGAGAAGAGGGACACTTTCTTTGGTGCTGGCGCCGGCGCAGGTGCGGAAACCTCTTTTGACGCCTGTTCTGGGGCCTTTGCGGGCTCGGTCTTGGAAGCGGTTGGAGTGACGGAGGATGGTGTCTTCTTCTTGGGTTTGCGGGCGACGGAGAGGGGTCGGAACATCATGGGCTTGCCAACCAGCTTCACTTCCTCCTCCGGCTTCATGCCCTGCGGTATCGACGGCTGCGCGGCAGCCTTGGGGGCCGGTAGGTTGAGGCCCCCACCGTCTGGAGATCCTGCGCCATCCCCTCGATCGCGACTGAACCCGGGTTCGGCCCCGGTCTTGAGCTGGAACACAGGGCGTGATGAGCTGCTGCTGCTGCTGCTCTGCGCCGGTGCTGCCTTGGCGGCGTTCTTGGGTGGGGGCAAGAACGAGTTGAAGCCGCTGAAACGGCCGCCTCCTGCGGTACGCGCTCTCTTCGCCGGGGGCTCGTCGTTCGAGGCTGTGGGTTCGTCGGGTTTTGCGGATGGCAGGTTAACGACGATCTTGCCTGGGTTCGATCGGTCGACGACTTTCTGGAATGGCTTCTTCGCTGTGGTGCCGGCGGCGGCGGGCTTCGCGACGGTGGGCTGGGGAGGCGCTTCGTCCTCCGACCCTGATGATTCCGAGTAATCTACCAGACCCATCTTTGCTGCTGAATTTGCTGTGTCGGTGGATGGAGCTTGAATGCGACGATCATAGGCAAAGGTGATGTACCAGAGGTTGAAATGCACCGCCACATTTTATGCAAGGCTGGGTTTTGGGCCACTAGGAGCCCAACGCTCGAGCCACCACTGCCACCTTGGTGTTTCACGAGGCTGAAGAAGGCACGACACAACAGTTCCCCCTCGACCACCTTCCTGCGCCAACTTGAGCTTCTTAACCATCAATCTGCTTCGGGGTGTTGTGAGCTGCGCTCGCAATCATGTTCCTTGTCAGATCGTGGGCGTATATTCCATTGATCTGATCCCTTTTGGCATGATCTTTTAACATTCCTTTCATCCCCGGTGACTGGTCGCACCCAAGCCCACGATGTCGGTCATCCAGAACGAAGAGTACGCGCGCACCTATCATTTCTCCAGATGAAACTTCGCTAACATTTTTTTTCAACTAGGCTGGTCGCATATCAGCTGCGCTGTGGCTACCTTACCGAAATCGCCGATGGCGTTGGCGAGCGCCTGATTACCCTCAATGAGGGGTTCATGAACTCGTCAGCCTTCAAGGCCGTCGCATGGCAAGCGAACCCAGACCTCGTCAAGCGATGCTATTCTCCTCCGATCCCTACCGCGATTGCATCCGAGTATTTCCAACCCCAGCGCCAGGTCGGCGTGACCCTCGAAGATGAACCCGACGAGACTGGAATGTTGACCGGCGGAGGAACTGATACGCTGGGGCCCGGTCTGGCTACAAGGAGGAGACGGCGTCGCGAAACTCTGGAGGATGACGACAGTAGCGATCTTAGTGATGAGAGCGACGATGATGATCCTGGAACCAGAGCGGCGCAGCAGATCAAGTTTGCAAAGATGCCCGTCAGATCGAGGGCCGGCTCCAGCCCGATTCAATCGTCCCATATCAAGCAGTCCCCAGCCATGTCTCCCCGGGCAGCTCCAGGGGCACGGAGAGGCTCGCAGTCGGCTTTGGAGATTGTTAAGGAGAGAGCGAGAAGAGACACGGTCACGAGCAGCGAGGTCTCCTCGGAGAATGAGTTTGATGCATCTGGTTTCCATCGGCAGAGAGAGGCTGCGAGAGCTGCGGCCAAGTCGGTCAAGCTCCAGGCTAGGATCATGGAGGAACCGAGCTTGGGGATCAAGCGGGCCGGCACTGACTTGCTGCCGGAGGAGGAAGACGACTCTGATGGTTCAGACATGTCTGGAGCTTACGTCGAGAGTATCGACTCGGCCTCGATTCTTGATGCGGTCGAGAATCCGGAGCCGCTACCGCACAAACAGGTGGTCGGCACGCCTCCTCGAGAGTTCACACGAACTTCCACAATCCGCAAATCACAGGCGCCGCCCCGTGTCCTGCGTCCTCTTCCACCCCCTCGCCCGATGAGCACCATCCGACCCATGAGTATGATTCAGCCAAAGAGTCTGCTGTCGGCCGCTTTGAGGGCCAGAAAGACCAAACCCAAGGTCCCGTTCGAAAACTTTGCGGCTCTATCAGGTCAAGGAGAGAACAATCCGATCGCCGTCCGCATCTATCCGGCATTCTCTGACAATCCCGGCAAGCCGTTTGAAGTTCTCATCCGACGTCAGGTACACCACGGCGAAGGTGGTGACCGGTCTGTCACAGTGGCCGACCTTATTGGGCTCGCTCTGTGGAGATACAACGAAGAGAAGCGAGAGCCGCCCATCGCCGCCGATAAAGCCAACATCAACTGGTTCACATTAAGAATGGTGGAAGAGGATGGCGAGGTCGACGACGACTTCCCAGCCTTTGAGCGCACCAAGGCCTTGACGTCTTTTACTACGGCGAACAATCGTGCAGCAGGTCGCATGCGCGCCAATTCTAAGACCCACGACAACTTCGGTCTGGTCATGGCCTCGCAGTCCGAGTTCGGCGAGAACCAGAGCATCACGCCCCAGGCAGAAGAAGAAGAGGCCGCAGAGGAAATGGTAGACGAAGACACAACCCCGCGCAACACGCCGCAGCCCAACGCTCACCAGTTCCTGCCCGTCGCGACAGAGCCTCGCCCGAACCCCGTCACGAATACTACCTATCGTCAACAGCATAGTATGTTCGCCGACGCACCTCAGGCGCCCGCCGCCGCGCCCAACACCAGCAGGGGCCAGCAGAAGCTTCTGCGCGTGCATCTCCACTCGACGGATGTGGCACCCGGCCAGTTGGTAACGCTGGATACGACCACGGAAACCTACATGGCTGAGGTTCTGGACATGGTATGTCGTAAGAGACAGCTTGACAAGGCCAATCACGTCCTCAAAATGCCCGGGGGCGGCCCCGTCATCTTGCTTGATACCAAGGTCCAGGCCATCGGTAGCCTGTCCGATCTGGAGCTGCATCGTCGCCGCTTCGCTACCGACGGCCCGCTTGCAATGACGGGTTCGCCAGGCAGCTCCTCGCCGAAGCTTCTCCCCTTTGTTGATGGCCAGCCGGGACGCAAGGCGAAGAAGACGCACATTATGGGTAGCCACCCGCTCGCTCAGGAGGCGATCAAGCAGGCGGAACTCACGAGCGCGTACCACAAGTCGTGGGTCGTTTGGCGCTTGCGCACCGTGCGGATGATAACACAATCCGAAAAACGGTTCGAGATTGACGGCGAGTATGTACACATCAAGCCGACTACGAGAGATTCAAAGACTACGACGGCGCACATTTCTCAGGTCATTGGATGCAAGGTGTCTAGCAAACATCCAAACCAATTCAAGGTGAGCTCATTCTACAGATTGCCGAGCGGATCACACATCGAGGGCATAAGCTGACTTTGCTGCGTGCTGCAGGTTCTCATCTACCGCGACACGGAAAGTAAGCGCTACGATTTTGAAGCCAAATCAGTCGAAGAAGCGCATGAGATCGTCGACGAGCTGAGGAAGGGTGTATCTCAAGTTATGGGCTAATGATTGCCCAACGAGCCCGCGTGAACAAACATGATTTGACATTTAAGAAGCGCATCATGTATGCGCTGTTCTTGGCCCCGCCACAATACGAGGTCCACGCCACGCATTCACCGCCACATCCGAGCACCGGCACTCGACTCAGTGACGTCCTGGTGTGTTGAGCGGGAGTCGCGGTCAACGAACGAGAGCTTGCAGGTTCCACCACAATGCTGACATGGCCCGGGATTCGGTTGGTCGGGACAGAATCCGCCCCCGAGAAGGCCCCCGGCTTTGGGGGGGAGGGATTACGCGTCACCGCAATTGCTTCGCTGCTTATTTTGGGAAAGTGGGCAACGGCTGCAATGGCGAGAGGCACAGGAATTATGTAATGTACCAAGTGGAAGCACCGATAAACTGGGCCGGCCAGGCTCTCGCCGAGTGGCAGAGCAGGACCAGGCAAACAAGGAAAACAGACACGAGGAAGCTCATTGGCACAGCATAAACAACTCGAGTGGAGGGATTGCTGTGTGGGGTACATGTCCAATTAAGGTTCGCATCCTGGCTCCTGCGTCATGCAGATCAATGCGATTGGAGCCGCGGGCCGGGATGCTTGGCGCCGCGGTTGCGCTCCCTGCTGAGGTCGGGCTGGGCGAGGCTGGGCACTCTCGGTTGGGAGGGGATGAATTGATGGCACGATGGATGAAGGGGATGAGGCGATGGGAGAGCACAATTGGGGATTGTCGCTCATGAGCTGACTTTCCTCAACTGTCCCTGTCCCCCGCCTTTAGTACCCCCGGCCTAGCGTCACCAGGTAGCAGAAGTGGAAAATGGCAATTGACGTTGAACAAACACGATGGATGAGAGCTGCGTGCCAAGGGCTTACTCTGTGCGGCAGGACTTGCAGATCGTTTCTTGGGGCTCGTCTTGAAAGGTGGTGTCTGTTTGCACACCGTTCTACAGAAGTAAATGAAATCCGCAGATGCTGCTGCTGCTGCGGTACTACGGATAACTATACTCGGCGAGAGATTATCCCTGGCCCCAATATCATCCGAGCATGGACGGTCCCGAGGTACTCTGTATTGTGGGACGATGTGGAACATTGGTGGTTTATCCCGATGTCGCTCGCCGTTTTCTGTTGTTTGTGTTGTGGTCATGCTCACCGACAGCTTGAGGTCTAGGCGATCACTGATCAGGGACCCCAAAGGCTCCCAGACCCCTTTATCCAAGTCTTCTTTGAGAGTTTTATGCAAATATCGTTTTTTCCTAACGCAAACGTCCAGGCGGGTTTTCTCACTGTCTCAAGGGAGGACGTTGTCTCACATGCGGGAGGCTATGTTACCAAGATTCCGAGTCATTATTGGTTTTCCCGAAACGAAGCTAGCAGACAACGAACAGAAGCCATGGAAAACTAGAACGAAGGGCACTGGCTGCACACATCTGCTGTGACGCGGCTGGGAGCATTAGAAAAGAATGAAGAAGAACTTGTGCCAAATTGCGAGGCTGCATGGACCTCACTTTAATCCGAACTCAAAGTGCTCTAGAGACTTTTGAAACGAACCGGTGGCACATCAAACGGGTGCACAACACCGACCTGGAGTGACGCAATTGGCGTCCGGCTCGGCCAAAGTCTCTGATGGCCCCTAAGAAAAAAGCTGCATGTTGACGCGTCAGACCAGGCTGCGCTGCGTGCTGTATTACTACCCCAAGGCTGAGCTGAAGCAGGCTGGATGTAGGGATGGAATCCTTCTCTAAACTCCGTGGGTGACAGAAGTTTGCTGACGGTGGACGGCTCCGTGACCGAGACGACGTTTAAGCCAAGCGACGATACCAAGTAGCTCCAAGAAGCTCCAGCCTTTGGTCCATCCATTCAGACTGCTTCCCCAACCACCCTCTTCTTTGTTGTAGATGTGGACATGGGGATTGAAATTTCCCCAGCCGATTGACCCCAACGTCGGTCCTCGTCCCCTCATTCAACCGAGAGGAGCAGGTGCTAGTATGTCCCAGGTCCTGCGAGCGAAAGGAGCATTTGAGTGCCCCAAAACAGAAGGACGAGGTTCTTTTGGTTTGGAGACTCCAATGACTTCGACCTGGGAGGGCCATTGAGGTCCAGACGGGCGGTGCCTGTCAGCGATACGTCATTTGCATGATCCTCCGCGCCGAGCGTCCGTGGCGAGCATCAAGTCTAGTCTAGCGAAATGGCCGAAACACAGACGCAGGTTTTCCTTTCCAAGCTACTGCCTCTTCATTTCAAACCTCATCAAACGAGAAACCGAGGCCGGAGAAAATCCGTTGTTGAAAAAAAATTTTGGAGGATGAACAGTGATGCGTCGATGCTTTGACTGAACCCCGTCCGTCCGATGGTCTCAATAACGCGTTCCCACGCCCCCCTGCGTCCCTGCGTAAATCCGCGTGCTGCAGCCAGACAGAAGTTTGCTGGTGTTTTTGCCGCTGTTATTACCAAGAAAAACTGCACTGCCAGCTGACATATCGACCGCCATACCATGTCTTTGCCGTTTGCCTTTCGGCTCGCATGGTGTCGGTGCAACGCGACCCGTTGAATTGGGTGCAGCGATCCGGGGGACCGGCCCAACATCATCGGGAATGTTACGTCCTCCCGCGGGCTGTGTGTGTGTGTGACTTTTTTTTTTTGTCGCCTCCAACAACCTTCCTTTAGCTTCAGCTTTATTTTCAGCTGGCTCGAAGGAATATGGGAATGGATGGTGGAAACGGAGGAGGATCGGACCCGTTATTACCTCGCATCTCCGTTCTGCCGTTTGCTTTCTTTTCCTTTTCCCTCACTGTTGTCAGCGTTCGGTGCCTGCGGCTGGCATGTTTCACAGCACTGCCCGCAAGGGGCGGGGAGCAGCAACTTGGAGCCTCGCCATTGGCGTGCGAGACCGCATTGAATTGAAGCAGTCTGGAGGAGCTGTGTCCGTACCTATCCGAGTTGTGCGAACTGGCAAACAGAACAATAGGTGGATGGAGAGAAAGAGAGACAGTGGCAGAGACATGGCGGCCGGCAAGGCCTTGTTTCTCCAACGCCCTGACCCGCCCCGCTAGCATCTCCAGCCAACCAGCGGCGGTTCTCATCTCCACCTCCTGTCGATCGTCCACGCTTTCCACCCCCTCGCCTCCGCCGCGCAACCCTGGTCCTGGAGCAGCTGCTTGCTTGTCCTGATGGTGTCATTGGGCCATGTGTCTTTTGGTTGCCTTCCTTGTTCCGTATTTCGGTACTCGAATATTGGAATCCCGTTTGTCCAAAACCCCGTAATGATGTAACGGTATTTTTCCCCCTTCCCATGTCACCATTGTCCACCGTGACCCTGCCGTCATCGCCTCAATGCTAATGCTGCTTAGACAACCCGTCTCCATCCTATTGACTCGATGCATTCTCCGTTTATGATGTACACGAATCGTCCCAAGTGGATGATGTGGGATGGAAGAAGCAGAAGGAAAATTGGAATAGTCTGCAGAGACGTACCTGTGGAATGAATGGATGATGGCCGAGGTTGGGGCTACCGCGTGGCTTTGCTACCCGTGCTTATTGATTGCTATCTTTGGGAACGCAAGGCTTCCCAGCGACATCAACTTCGGGGAACAGCCGTTGATCGCGACGGAAACCCAACGCCACGATTCGTTCGATCCGAGATGGGCTACATGCGTAGCACCAAACGGGAGGCGACTTGGAGGTGCTTTGGTCCAGTTTGGCTAGCGTAGCGTGCACCGTTCCGTTGGGGGGGAGGTCTCGGATTTTTCCACGTCGTCTCTTTCGCCTCCAACGAATCTTTTGGTGCCTTCTTTGGTGCTCGGAACCGCACATATGGACCTTTGGTTTAGAGCGAAGCGACCATTTCGTCGTCTCTCCCCAGAATGACGAGCATCGGATTCCGTCACCGACGCGGCACTGCTCACATGTCCTCCGTGCCAATGGGCAAAAGATCCAAACGGGCCATGATCCCCGTCTCAGACACGCAGGAAAAGCTGGCGGACCTCAAAGCCAGATGTGATGTCCATCTCCAGAGAGAGCAAGGCAAGGCAAGCTCTCGTCTGCTCGCTTTCCCGTGCTGGAGGACTGCATATTGTTGCCGCGGGGATGACGTGAGGATGTGGGTCTTCTCCGTCCTCCCTTCTCGCTCTTTCCGCCTCCTTCTCCATCCAAGGCAGCGCATTTCGACATGGGTCCCGCCGCACGGCACCAGGGCTGAGTTGGGGAGCTGTCGATGGCGGTGGTGCTAGTAGTCACTCGGGTACGTACCGTTTCCATCATTCGTCTGTCGTGTGTATCCATCCGTATTGTGCCAGTCTCGGAGTGCCACCCGCGGTCCGCTAGGTCGACGGCTGCCTCTAGACTGTTTTCCCATTCGCCTTCGAAGGGGGGGCGTGTGGTTCATGGACACGCCAAGCATGTGCCTAGCATTGTGGAGGATTCAGGCGGTGGTGGTGCCTGGCCTTTCTCCTTCTCTCTCGGCAGCAAGCAGAAGGACCTAGCCGATGGGGGCGTGTATACGTGGGAGGACGGGAGAGACAGACACGCCTCTTGGCGTCGAACGGCCTGTCGAAAGATATATAAGACTCTTTTCCATGAGCCCCAATGTTCATCTGCCTCCCCTCCACTTTACCAATCAACAAAGCTGTACTCTATCCGTTCCAACACCAAATCCATCAATCTCTAATCACCAACTTTCACTTCCAACCTTAAACACTAAGCCCAACCACCATCAACATGCGTTTCTCCGCCGCTTCCGTCCTCGCCTTCGCCGCCCTGGCTGCTGTAAGTTGACCATACTCACTCTACCAAATACCCAGACGACTAACACACCACCCAGGCCCAGGCTGAGACCGTAACCGTCACCACTCCCACTCTTCCCTCCGTCCCGGGCGTCACTCAGGCCTCCTCCGTTATCGGCGGCGTCTCTAGCGCCATCCAGTCCGGCCTCTCCTCCCTCTCCGCTGCTGAGTCCTCCCTCGGCGGCCAGGTCTCCTCCGCCCTCGAGTCCATCAGCGCCGGTGCCTCCTCCCGTGCCGCCAACCTGAGCTCCCAGCTCGCCACTGCCACCGGCTCCGCCGCCGCCTCTCTCTCCTCCGCTCTCGAGTCCGCCAGCCAAGAGGCCAGCTCTGCCGTCGAGAGCGCCACTGGCTCCGGCTCTGCTCAGAGCACCACCGCCCCCGGCGCTGCCCCGGCTCAGACCGCTGCCGTCGCCATGGGTGCCCTCCTCGGTGGTGCCGCCCTCATTGCCAACCTGTAAGGGGGTGGCTTTGTTCGCGCGCGTCCTTCATTGCATGGGAATGTGATTTAGCGGAAATGATCGGCAAATCGGTGTGGTAATGGATATTACACAGCATTGTTTGGGAACCTTTTTTAAAACTACCTCTTCGGAAGATATCATGATGTAATACCAGTACAACTTTGTACATCAAATGAAACCAACGTACATTTTGCACCTTTTGGCTCTTTCAGACATGTTCTGTGTATGCATTTCGGGTAATTTGTGATATGTTGACAAGTCTTTGGTCATCAAGATCTCCGCCGGGAAAGGCTCCGCCGTGTAACGCGCCTTGGCCAATCCCGACCGCTTGGCGCCAGGAGTGAGCCACCTCGGACGAATATTGGCAAAGGGGGCGTCTGCCACATCATACTTGGCAGAGCTGGAGGAAAGCCTGTCCACAAGCTGAGCTTCGCGGCGCAGCTGCCAAAGTACCTATCCAGGATCACTTAACGCAAGGGGATGATCTCATGTATAACCGTCGCGCATTGTCTCCTGCAGTCTTGGACCGTCTTGTATTGCTTGCTGCACAAATGAAGATGAGGATCTGCCTTGGGGGTAAATGGCTGCTCCGTCGCAATAGGCGCATTTTCTCCGGATGATTCCAGGATGATGTGACAGGACCACGCTTGTGGTTTGTTCTGGACCGTACTTCGTATCCGGAGCTATGCGCGTTGTGCTAGCTCCAATGTCGCCCTTGGTTCGGCAAACAGCACCCGCACCCCAAGGCTTCCAGCCACCTTGGCTGCACCAGCCCCCAACTGCTTCAACCAGTGTTTCACAGTACGAAAAGCAAAGGTGGAACATACGACTTGCGCTTGATGATGATTGAAAAGTAGTCGAGACAAGGAAATCCATGCTCGGTTCTATTCCCTTCTCCCTTTGATTGCGCCGAGTAGAAAATACGTAGTGTGGTGGTCGGTTAGCCTTTGTTACGCCTTCGACCGGGTATCTGCCCATAACTTGTCGATAATCTGGAAAATCGCCGTAATGTCCTTCATGACGGCGTCGTCGACCTGCCCGCCGAGTCTCTGCTGCATCTTGTCCGGATGCCACCGGACACGTTCTTCTCGCAGGTTGCCCGCGAACTCCTTCTCGCCAATCTCCTCCACGGCCAGCCCATTGACGATGAATCGGCGGACTTCCTTCTCGCTAATGTCCTTCTGGCGCCCGCTCTTCACCGGCCACGGTATCGTGTCAGCGTCGCCGGTCCATTTCGCCCAGTCTTGCACGTAGTCTTCCCAAAGTGACGCCCACATCTTCTTCTGTCGCCTCTCCTCCCCGCGACGCAGACTACGCTCCATGTCCTCTTGTAACTTTCTGTTCCTCTTCTCATCCTCCGACTTGCGCTTACGCGCCTCTTCGCGTCGCGCCCGCTCTTCCAGCAGTCCTTGATGCGTCTTCTCCCACATCTTTTGCCTGACGTGCGTGGCATACTCCTCGTCCGTCATGCGCTCTAGCTCGCCTTGTGGGCCGGTCCGCTCGTTGGAGTAGACGTGTAACGGCTGGCCGTAGACTCCCTGCCAGTACGCCGCACCTTCGTCGTCCGCCATGGCATCAAACAGCGATTCGCGGAATGCGGCATCTGGGTCAAGCGCCTGCGGTTCGTAGGGATTCGGGGGTGTGGGCGATCGTGATCGTCTGCGGTGCCTCCGAGAGTGATGGTGGCGGCGATGCGAGCGGGAGTCATCATCGTCGCCGTCGCGCTCGCGCTCGCGATGGCGGTGTGACCTTGATTTGTGCTTGGACTTCAGGCGGATGCGTGACGATCTCGGTTGAAGATGATCGTCATCTTTGGCCGCCTCATCCTTCACCTCTGGCTCCTCAGGCGTGCTTCGCTTCGTGCGCTTCGGTGCAGGCTCGTGGCCCTCGTCCGGGTTTATCGAAGAGAGGATGTGCCGCCGGCGCGGCGAAGTCGGCGGGCTTGTCATCGCGAGCGTCCCATCAGGGCGTCTAGACGTGTGTCGTCGAAATTTGCGATGAGGATGGGGCACAAGGTTTCGCGGTTGACAGGAGCAAAGATGGAGGGGTCGTCCTGGGAGTGAGTTGACGTCGTAGGTTTTGGCTTATCTTATCGCGCGGCGTTGAAGGTCTTCCTTGTTGCGGGGCTTGGCAGTTGCCGTCCCTGGATCATTCCTGCGAGATAAGGTTAAGTCCGCCTCCCCGCCAGCAACGGTCTGGTACATTCCTCATATGCTTATCTTGAGGCTCAACAGAGTGCAACGTGAGTGCAACGTCGATTGATCAGGGACGCGGACCGTCGATTGCGGTTGCATTTTGCGCCAAGATACTTCCAGGTATCCCGTCATTTATCGCTCACGATGTCGATTTCTGAAGTATTCTCATGACTCCGCGCATCGCCCATGGTCACATCAGAGTCCCTTGCGGTTCAACAGCCGATATCGTAGATGGGATCGGTCTCTTCTTAAGGCCGATATGTGTTGCCCAAAAGCTCTGTCTCATGTAATATCTCTAAGACCTAGCTACCTAAGAGCATTCAAGTCGAGGGACAGCGCAGCCAAACTCTCTGCTGCAGAGTCTCCAAAGTCCCTCGGGACTTTCGCTGCCAGTAGCAGTGAACTAAAATACAATTCGCTTTCCCCCTGTCAAACCCGATAATCCCGTTCGTCTTGTTGAAAGTCACACGCCAATTTTTGCAATTACCTCCCAAATGAGTTGTTGAAGTCCCATGTTGCGCTCTAATTCGTCTTGTTGAAAGCAACACGCCAATTTTTGTGGTCCCTACATCGAGGGATGTTGAAGTCCCACGTTGCGTCGTCCCGGAATTTGTGCCAATTTGTGACTTCTGACTTCTGACGTCGTACCCCTCTCTGTTCGTCTTGTTCTCCCCTCATGAACGGACGTTCACATTCATGCTGAATACCTCGCAAGCGCCAGACAATTACAGAGACGTCGAGTATGTATCGGTGAAGGCGAGGAGACTCGCTTCTTCAGTATACATGGAAAGCTCTACATCCGGACTCTTAACTCCTGATGACGAAGGGGAAGGTGATGTACGCTTCAGAAGCAAGTTCTCCAGACGAATTCCCAGCGTCTTTTGCGCCTTTTCCAACATGTGCTCGGCAACATGTTTCAAGATCCAAGATGGAAGAGCGCACGCCGACCAGTTCTTGTGTCCCCCGAGATACATGACATTGCCAATGTTGGCCTCATAGTACTCAACCGCGCTGCTGCATGCGGGGCAGCAGTGCTTGGAGACCGGCATCACACTGATTGTTTTCAGGAACAAGTCCGTGATAGATTTGTCTGGGATGTCTGCATTCGGTGAGATCTCAGTTCTGTGACGCGCCAGAATTTGCAGACATATCAAAATTGTCTCGCAGTGGCATGTGCCATTGAAGACAGCCTCGTCGAATTTGAACTCCGACTGACCAGCATCCTTCCGAAGACTTGCGATCTGCTTCATCACTTCTTCTTGCTCCTGGGGTGAAAGATATCTGCCCGAGGGAAGCTTGACTCTCCGAAGAAGTTGTTTGAGTGGCTCCATCTCGTGATCGTCATATTTCGGCTGGGTCTCAAGAAGGCGAAATCCTGACTTGGATGTGATCAATGAGGCAATCTGTTGGTCGCTGTCCGTCTCTTTGACCTCATACTTTCCTAGGCTAGAGATTGCCTGTGAATGCAACGTCAAAAGGTTTATGTAAGTAATCGCGGCTCTGGACCAACTTGAGCAGGCAATCTCGTCAAGTTCTGCTAGCTCGGTGTCATCAATGTCTTCAGTTGCATCATTGCTATCGTCCATGTCGTTAGAGTCTTCGGCGTAATGCTGCGAAAGGGGCGATTCCGGTCTGAAGTTGTGTGCATCCATGGCTTGCTGATCTGCTCGAGCCAGTCGAAGTGCCCAGGCAGTATTGTCGTTGAGAACATGGTCCGAAACAAATCCAACAGCGCCATCCAGTAGTTGAAGTTGATGACTTGCTTCTGCATGACAGTAGCATCAGCTGGTTGGGCACCTGCGGGTTTTTTCAGGTACGCCGTTTGTTTGGAGTGGCATTCTCTTTTGTGCTTGACCAACTCCTTCAGGGCGTCAGGAAAACCCTTCAGTAGAGCTGCGAAGATTTCTTGGAATGCGAGTCTTCCGTTCAGGTCATACCACTCTTTCGTAGACGGCGGATAATTCTTTATGCCCGTGATCTTGCCACGGTCCTTGAGGAAGCCAATGATGTGCCTCATGTTCTTCATCTGTTGAGGTGTAAGGGGTTTGACGTCTCTTGGGGGTGGGAAGTGTTTGCCGGCTAGACGTCGCGCGTTCTCGGGAAAATCAGCCGTGAGAGCCACGAAGAAATTTCTCTTATTGGAGGACCTGGGCTTGGGCTTGTCGGAATTGGGCTTGTCGGACTTGGAAGTGTCGGACTTGGGCGGATCTCTGTCCTCGTCGCAACCGCGCATTCATCTTGTCACAACTCGTGACTATGACATACGTCTTGAAAGCTCCGAACGCTCTTCGAAGCTCCGATTGCGTGAGGGCCAGCCGCATGCGTCTGAGGAGACAGACAAGATTGTCGGCGTGCATAGCAAAAGATATTTTTGAGCGCAGCATCATCCGTCCCCTCGAGTCTCCTATCTTTTGTCTGACCGTCATCTCGATGTTGTCAACGTAATACTTGGCAGCTCTTGTGCCCGCGGGGAAGGCCTGTCCTGTAAGCTTGACGATCTTGCAATCAATCTGCCCGAGAGTCTGGCCTGAAGGTGGTGCCTGAAGCTGGACGTCGTCACGTCTGAAGTTTCGTGTGATGACGAACCCGGATCTTACATCCGCCAACTCTAGGCCTTTTTCGGTGACGGGATTGAGAGCTGTGAGCTTCAGCCGCCGCATTGCATCCATCAAAACATCGTTGGTCTCTAACAGAGCAACGGCGACAACTTCATGTTGTCGAACGAGGAGGGTCGTTAGATGCGCGGCAAATGGGTAGATTTTCTGCGTAGTGGATTTCCTCTTGCCCGCGTACCACTGGGTTTTGGCCACCTCATGTGGACCGGTAGCGGCAGTAGTCGCTGATGATTCGCCAGAAAGACCCAAACCATTCGTGATGGCTAGCCATTGCGTTGTAGACCGGAATTCTAAATCCATCTGTCTTGTGGCAAGCTCGGGTTTGCCAGGTGCCATTTTCGGCAACAAGGATGTCGTCGACGTCGAGATCGACGACGACGACGATAACGAGGACGACGATTGTCAAGGAGGGCGACGTTTTCTGTGAAAGTGTGAGACTTCTTTCTATTGCAAGACGACAAATCGTATAAAAACCTTGCGATTCTGAACGCTCGCGAGTAAATAAGCGCGGCCAAAGCACCAACGATGCTCAATATCGCTTCCAATGAGCCGGGCGATGTATCTTCGTGGATGATGCTATGATGTGTCAGAATGGAATATTGTCATAATTCGGACGGGAGCTCGACGCGAACCTTGCGAAGCGGTAGTTCTCGCTGTACTGGAAGAAGTGAGAGAACGATGCAACGATAGTGCGTCGTCAGATCACCATGATGGTACACGCTCTGAACGCGTATTGAAGAAGAAACAACCAGTGGCGAAGAAGATGGATGTGGGATCTCGACAAGTACGAGACCAGTAAAGTGATAAACGGCTGGATTTCCAGTTCGCAGAAAAGAGGTAGGGATGAGGAATGGGGAAAAAAGGATAAATGGCGGAGGTGGGCGGAAAGGTGAGATTGCCCGGGGAACAGTTTGCAAAAAGTTTTGTCACCCCTTTTCAGGCAGGCACTTGAATAATCGAGAAGTGAATCGGGAGACCACTGGCAAGGATAGACGGGAAAGGAAGAGGGACAAGGAAGTGGGACGTGAGCAGAGATGCAGAGCAGATAAGGATGCGGACAGATGACTTGGTGCTTTCTTTCACGTTCCAAGACTGAATACTCCAAGAACGACATGGTCGCCGAACAGATTTATCCCAAACATGTTTAACGTTCAAAATTACGTGCTTTGTTGGCATGCCCGTAATTGTGTTTCTTGCCTTGCTCTGGTATCTGGCCCTCCGTATTTCCAAGCATATCGACACAAGGACCCATTGCAAAACCCAAACCAAACAACGCCTGCTACATAAATGGTCGTGGTTGACGAGAAGCGCCAAGGTAAAATTCAAGTTCATCACCCACAAGGTTGTCCATTGCTCCCACCACTACTTCTGTCTAATTTGCAGGCAGACAAGGTAGGTTCTGTGCTCTACTTAAAAGTCGCAACAGCCTTTTTTGCTGGCTCTTCATTATGCAATTTCCTTCCGATTTATGATTGACAGCGTGCTTTACCCGAAGAAGCAGATATCGCAGCTCACCCTAAATTGAAATCATAATACTCAAAACTCAGACCTTCCGATATACATTTCTTACAAGCCCGTGGAAAATCCAGCGGGGTTAACATTATTCACAAACATTATTTCTTATACCGTCAGTCTCTAGGGCCAACATTCCTTATTCGACAATCTACGACATGGAGTTGCTCTCACGGGATGAACACTTGAGATTTCGGACAATGACGGAGCTTCTATCCCTGACGAACCACGTCTTCAAGCCTGAAACTCCTGACGAGATGCCTGATGATCGCGTAAGAACAGACCGTACCGCTATCAGACGAGGCTACGTTTACACGTCCAGCTTTGCGAACATTCTCGCTCGAAAGGACGAGTTCGCTGCTACCGCTCTGCTCGATATGAATAGCGACTCGCCGACGGGTGTGATAGTGGCAAGTTCTCGGACTGACACGTGCAGCCAGTCCGGAGCAGCATCGGAGAACAAGTCAGAGGCTACATTTGGGCAGGTGAGGTGCAGAGTCACAAACATCAACGGAGACGGAGTTCCTGAAGACCTGCTGAGTCCCTACATTGGGGAATCAATCACAGAACAGACCAATGGACCACATTTCCAGGTAAAAGACAACTTCATCAAACATGCCAGTAACGTTGTACGACTCCTCAACTGCATGCGAGATGCTCGCACGGCCGACACTTTGCAACAGGCCACTACCCAGTTTCGTGTATATTGCATAATTGCAGGGTGCGAGAAGATGCAGGCACGCTTTTTCCGAGGCTCGAGGAACTCAGATGGCTCAGACAAGACGATTCCAGACGACAAGACAAGTGAAAACGAGACTACGGAGAACGACGAAACCGAAGGACAGACAGAGCCAGACGAGACAAGGAAGATAAAGGCATCTAACGGCGGCAGCAGAAGAAACTTCTACAACATTTTGACGCATGACTTCACCTGCCGTGTTTCTTCCAACAAGGAAGAGTGGCCTCCATTCGGACTCGGATTCCCGTCGCTCTCTGAATGTAGCTTCGCCCGACTGAACCACATAATCCAATTCCTCAGAGAAAATGGGTACGGAGAGAATATCGAAGACTACCACCCATCGGTCTCGAAGTGGTACCACACGACCAAGGACAGGGAAGCCTTTCATCACATCCTTCGATCACTGCTAGGGGCCTCTGCAGAGAAGCTGGACAGGCTTGTCTCCTCTAAAAAGGCGCTTCACGAAGCAAGTTCCAAGACGTTGAAGCTCGATTCCAAAAGACAACATCTACAAGATACCGAAATTTATGGACTGGCAGTGGAGTTCAACAGCTGGATATACATGCTCAACGTTTTTGTGAGCAAGTTTCGCCATACCCTATCGTCGCACATGGATTGGCTCAAGCACGAGTTTCACACGGATAATATGGATAGTTTCATCGCCTCGCCGCTGCATCCAGGCGTCGCTGTTTACAATCCGTCGTCGTCTCTTGGTGAATACATCCTCCAGGAAGCTGGAGTGGGGCCATACTATGACCAGGCTGAGCTTGGGCACGAAGCATTCGACCTCTCTGTCCTTGATCACCGGTCTCGTAGGAGCTGGCCAAGAGCTGCGATGGTGTATCTCGATAACATCACTGCTCATTCCAATGGCATGTTCGAATTTGAGCCAGGCTCACTTTCTCTGAATGCCAAGGATAAAAGACAAGCGATGGATACACTATCAAGAACGCGATTCCAGCTTCTTGATATCACCCCAAACGATGAGGATCACGATAAACTCCCTCTGGCAGAGTTGCTACGCACTTTTAAGCTATTCACGAAAACATTATCGGAAGACGACCAAAGCCAAATCTGTGAACTGATCGACATTGAGCGAAGAGAATCTGAGCCCCCAAGGGAAGACATCGATCTGGAAACATCATACTTCAGTGGAGAATCGCATCCTGAGGCGTACATAATCTGCCTTCACTTGCTGGCCAGGGAGAGGCGCAGATTGGGTAGCAAATTCACGGCACCTGCAGACATCGTGCTTCCTGACAAGGAAGTGATAGATATCTTCCAGAAGAACATCACCCAACTTGCGGTGACCGGGCGTTGTTGCCCAGCTTGCGATCTGCTTATAAGATTCTATTCGAGAAGAGCAGGCGTGAAGGTAGTCCACTCTGAAGATCACCGTGTCTGGATCCCTTGCTCTCTGCCTCCATGGATCCCTCGAGAAGCAGGCACATATATGCTCAACTTCGTAGCTGAGGAGCTACGGGAACGATTGCCGGAGTTTATCGAACATCTTTGGATCACAAAGGATCTGCTGGAAGAGCGGAAGGCGAGTGAACATCAGGAATGAGAAGGGAAGTAAGCATTATCGAAGGAAGTCGGGGTCACATAAGTATCTGGATCATCCAATACGTAACTTGGACTGTTGGATGGTGTTCCCGAGTCTCAGAGAGACACTAGGAAGGCGAATGCAACGTAGGAGGGCAGGTGTGCAGGGTAAAGGGAGGCAAGAACAACTCTATGAAAGCGACACAGATGGAACAAGTGCTTTCCTCGGCATGAATTTCTACAGCCGCGATTTGCAGGAACAGCCAGTGACCCCCTTGATGGCATATTTATCCTCAATAAAGTGTCTTCATACCCTGATGAACGACCTTGCTGGCCTCTAAATCTTTGTATCAAATAAACTCTATTCGTTCTTATTTTGTCTCCATAAACTTGCTGTATTTTGGTCCCTCCAGCGTTTGGGTATCTCTTTCCGGTCCCATCTTGTCACTCCTGGCGGCTTCTTCAACCCATTTCTACTCTTCGTCCGCGCTTCGATCCTATTCGGGTAATTTGAACAACAACAGCGAGATCTCGACAGCTTCATGACGATTATCGACAACAGAGATGTCCTCTCACGCGACGAGATACTGAGACTTCGGTCCATAACGCAACTCTTGTCATTGACGAATGGATACCATCTCGATTCAGCCCCGCTCTTAGGCCCCCTTTTACTTGAGGACATGCGACTTCATATTGAAGGCGTAGGTAAAGACGAAGGCTACACGTACAAGGAGTGCGCAGCTTCCTTCGCAACCCTCCTCGTGCGAAAGGATGAGGTTGTCACCGTGATGCTGCAAGGGCCCAAGAGACCTGGTGGAGACGACCCTGCATCGGGCCATGCCGTCCTCTCGATCGCCGTGCGGAGTGCAGGCAAGGACGAGCCTTCACCACAGGCGCTTCCCAAGCAGGCAGTCCGTCAAATGTTGCAGCCGGACGTGGAAGGCATTCCTGACGACGTTTCGGTGGCACATTACTATATAACTAACATGGCGAACATCACCCCCGGCACGCATGTTGGGAATGTCATCGATATCTTGAGAAATATGCGGACGGCAAGAACATTTCAACACTATGCCCAGGGCCTGGCAGCATTCCGCCGGTACGTGGCCATTTCATGCTGCGAGAAGATGGAAGCGGGGACTTACCGACGAGGGGAGAGCAAACGCAATTTCTTCACGGCTATCACGTCCGCCACGATCGCGGAGTGTAAGGAATATTACCAATGGGACGAAGGAGGAGCCCAGCCTTTTTCCGCGAGCAACTCAAGATCATGCAAGTAGTGGTCGCCTTTCTCCGATCCCAAGGAAAAGGCCCAGGTCTCGAGGTTTATCCGTACGGGAGGAACCCTTGGTACGACTTGGACGGCAGGAAAGCGTTCCATGCTGTCCTCAGTCGGCTCGTAAAAGGCAACTGCCATGCTATCAGGGGATTAGTTAAGAGAAGGTCCGATCGTGAGAGATGGAATAACGACCGCACATATTTCGACGACAGCGCAGATCAGCTCGTCGCGTGGGCTTACCATTTTTCGTTGTTCCACCAC